GCATTGCCCGTTTCATCGGCATGGTGGGTTTCTACCGGCGCTTCATCCCCAATGTGGCTGAGTTGGCGGCTCCGCTCAATGAGCTTCGGAAGAAGGGCGCCAAGTTTGTTTGGGGTGAAGCACAACAGATGTCTTTTGATCTTCTGAAGGAAGCTATCATGCAACCCCCGGTTTTGGCGATGCCAGATTTCAGTCAAAAGTTTGTTTTGCAAACCGATGCTTCCTCCGTTGCCATTGCGGCTGTGTTGTCTCAAGAGGTAGATGGTGTTAGGCAGCCAATTGCGTATGCCTCACGCACTTTGAACCCATGCGAAAAGAAAAGCTCTTCTGTGTATGAGTTAGAGTGTTTGGCTGTTGTGTTTGGAGTGAATAAGTTCAGACGTTTTTTGGAACATAAAGAGTTTTTGCTGGAAACCGACAACCAAGCACTCTCGTGGCTCCTTGCACATCCTCGCCAGCTTGGGAAAATTGGTCGTTGGGTGGTCCAAATATCTTCCCTCAAATTCCAAGTGCAACATGTTCGAGGCACGCAGAATGTGATTGCTGACACTTTATCCAGGATGTATCATTCACCTGACGACCAACCTTCTGATCAGGAGGAGCACACTGGGTGTGCCGTGCTCCTGGAGTTTCCCCTTGCCTTTTCTGAGTTCATCCCACATCAGCTAAAAGATCCCGAGCTGGCTAAGATCATTGGTGAGCTTCAAAACGGGGGAGCCCACCCCCCGTATTTTCTGTCCCAGGGTGCCCTTTGTTGTCGAGACCGACAGCGAGGTAAACCCAAGGTTGTGCTGCCTAGTCTTCTTGTACCCATGGTCTTTGCGTACTTTCACTCTTCCCCTGTGGGTGGGCACTTAGGGATTCACAAGACCATTGCAAAGGTTAGGGACATGTTCATCTGGAAGGGTATGGACAGGGACATTGCGGCACGAGTGCGTTCTTGTCAAACATGCTCGCTAAGCAAGCCTGCTCAGAATACCAAGTATGGGTTGTTGTCATCTGAGGTGGCGGAGAGACCGTTGGAGAAGGTTTTCATAGACTATGTAGGGCCACTCCCACGTAGCAAGTCAGGAAACAAATTCTTGCTTGTTTGTGTGGATGCCTTCTCCAAGTTTTGTTGGCTTTTTCCTTTGAGGAACGCCACTGCACAGCTCACCGTGCAGGCACTTCGTACCCATTTGTTCCAACACTTTGGAATACCCGCCACCATTGTTTCCGACAACGGAACTCAGTTCGTGTCTCACCTTTTCAAGAGAATGTGCTTTGGGCACGGTATCCGCCATGTGACCACTTCTCCTTACTATCCACAGCCTTCCCATGCTGAGAGGTTCAACAGAAATCTTCGATCCGCTCTCATAGCTTTTCATGCTGACAAGCAGACCACCTGGGATCAGGAACTTCCTTGGATTCAATTTGCTTTCAATACTGCACACCATGAGAGTCACAAGGCGGCTGACACAACCGTGAGAGCTGTTGTTGGGCTATCCACCCAATAATCCCTTGGCAAATGTGTGGAAAATTGGCGACCTTCTGCCACCCCCTGGTGCTGCCAATGTCAAGGCAACTTGGCAGGCGGCTAGGAGGAACTTGATCAGAGCTAGGGAATTGGTACGGAGGAAGCACAATCGAGGTCGGTTGGACAATCCTTTCCAGGTGGGGGATTTGGTTTTCTGTAAGGCTCATCCGGTCAGTTCGGCCGTGGACAAGAGAGCCGCTAAGTTGTCTCATCGGTGGTCAGGTCCCCACCGCATCTTGAAGTTCTTGACTCCTGTCTCCGTGCGGCTGGGAAATCCGCAGACTGGAGAAGTTTTCCGGAGGGCTCACATTTCTCATCTGAAGCCTTTCTGGGGAACAATTCCGTAGGTCATCTTTCTTTACTCTTGTGTCTGAGTGGGAAGTGCACTGGGCCAGAGAGCTTGATCACCTCTTCTGTCCCTTGTGCGCTGCTGAAGATTTTTCCCTAGTAAATTTTCCAGCACTGGCCAGTGCAAACCCTGGGGGTGAGTAGTCCCTCCAGTTGAAAGACTTTTGGCGTTCCCCACTTCAGACACTTGAGTTGATCTGTTGGTGTTGAGATCTTCTAGAATTGGGAGAGGTTGTTTTTCTTTTTTTTTGGAGAGGAAGTCCTCCTTTGGGGGGGGAGGTTGAGCCGTGACTTGTCCACCAAGCGTCCCACCAATCACGCCTCAGTGTTTTTTGTATAGTGCGAGTACTGGCTTTGCGCCGGAACTCAGTCGGTTTGGGTCGGGCAGCAAACCTGCAACCCAGAGTCAATGTCCGCCTGACGTTTGGGGGTCAGAAGGCGTGCGACTGTCAACCATCTCAGACTTGGTGATTGTTTGCATAAAAAATTGTATCCGTGTAAATCGTTTTTATGCCGTTGTTCCTCATGTTGTTTTATTCAACTTTACAACGTTTTGATCCAGTCATGTAGATAAGTGTTTTGCCAGTCGTCAGATGAGTAAGTTGATTGATATTTTGATTTGTTTAGGTTAGAAAGTTTCTGAATTAGTTTTGGCCTTCAGCCACATGTTGAGCAGGCTTTGAGTGGGTTTTGGCTAGTGAAAAACAAGTATTAAGCACCTTCTGTGCATTGGTATTACTTTTAATTACCAATTGCTTGTTTTTCAAGGCGCTAGACCCATTTCTGAGCCTGGAATTGTTCAGAGTTTCTATGGGCCTTTGGCCAAGCTTTGTGTGGTCTGACCACAAGTTTTTCTGGTTAGTTTTGTAGTTTTCTTTGTTGTCAAGTTTTCAAAGCTTTCCCCGAGACTCTAGGCCAGATATTACCCAAGAAAACCCACTTTGAAACTCACTTTTGTGCGGGCTAGGGTCCGTTTGTTCTGTGTCCCTGTTAACTTTTTATTAGGCCTAAGGCCTAGTTTGTGCTCATATTTTGTATTGTTATTGTGGCCTACAACTTGTTTAATGTAAATTTTGTCCCTCTGTCCCATGTAATAGTGTTTTTTTTGTTGTTTGTAATGTAGGCCATGTCACTCAGCCTAAATTTTTTTTGTTAAGTAATGGCACCTCCTGGGGGCCAAGCTCGGTCATAATTAGTTAGTTTTAGTGCTCTTACATGTCCCCTGCAATTTTCATTAAGTTTGGTTGATAAATGACCGAGTTATTTAAGTTTTAGCTTAGCGCATTTCTGTTTTCTGAGTGACCGTAGGTAACTGACCCCCTACCTGGCCTCAGGCTAGTTGGTAGGCATGGGTTTGTCTTTTAAAAGCTGCGGGCACTTGTGCCACAACTTTTAAAAGCTTTTTGAGCAAATTTGGTTGGTAATAACCGGAGTTATTACCGGTTTTACCTGAAATTGCACCTCCAGCCAAAGAATTTTTAATATTTTGTGAGAACTGTTTTTCGAAGTGTTTATTGTAGTATTTATGTAATTGTTTTGTGTTTTACTAGTGTATATTACCCTTCTGGACCCTAAATTCATATCTTTTATTGTCAACTTCAATTTTTATGAAAAATGCCTGTAAGAATATGTTGTTAAAGTTAGTAATATTTAAAAGTCTATTTATTGTTATGTTTTAGAGCTTTATTGAACTGAATTAATTTATTTCTAGTCATTTTCTCTTTATCACTCTTAAAAAACTGTTTTATAAAGGAAAGCCTAATTTAAAAGAAGAATATTTATTAATAAAATCACTCTTAATGGTTTGGACGTTGTTCGAGTGGTGCGGAAACTGTTTTTTGGAGTTTTTTGGCTTGAAAAGCTAGGTAGGCCTAATGTTAAAATCAAGTTACATGAACTTTTATTAGTTAGACCTGGAAACTGTTTAAAGGGTCCCGGATGGAGGGTTTTCAATCGGCTGCTGTCCTCAGAGAGGGTCGCCCGGGGGGACACTCTACCTTCTCCCTCCGCTGCCTACAGCCCTGCTTCTCTGGGGACCATTATGTCGTCTTCCGCCATCCACTTTCCAAGATGGATCACCGCCGCCCACCACTAGTGTGATGTGACAAAAATGTGCCACCATAACCGCAAGTTGCCTTGAACTTTATGAACTTTTTTTAATAAGAAAAAAGGATTGTTTTTTTAAATGGGCCCCAAAATAATTTATTATTCCATTATTGAATTTTGATAGTCAACGTTATTTATTTAATTGTTATTTCTTTATTGTTAATCTTTTTAAAGTTTAATACGTCATAGTTACCATCCTATTTATTTAGTTAGACCAATTTTTTTGTTACTGGTACCAGTTTTGTAAATTCAGAAGGGTAGACATAAATTGATATTTTATTTAACTTTAAAAGAAATTCTTTGGATGGATGGAATTTGTTGTTTGTTGTTATTGTTGAATTCATTGAAATATTATAGGCCTTGTTGACAACTGTTTGTTTGTTCTTATATTCACCCACGGCCTTTCACTTTTGTTAGGGTTGTGGGGCGACCACTCGCACTGTCACTATGGGGGGCATGCTTCCTTTAGTTGTTCGTCTGGGGGCGGTGCGAGGGGTCGGCTCATAGCCTATGTCGAGACAATATGGTTTTACCACTATTAACAATGAACATGAATAAATAATAAATATATAACAAGATTTAGTTTGGAATTTAATTAGGCCTAATGACTAGACTATATTCATAAACATTATATTTTGAATCATTACAGCACATTTTGCTTTTACTCGAAACGAAACACATATTTATTTTATACTACAATGCAAGTGCTTGTGTTTTCCCATTTGTTGTCGGTATTTTTGCACACATCAATGTGAACGAATATTATTGCTATATCAGAAATGAACAGTTACTCGGAAAACAACGCATGTGTGTAGACGTCTAATTGTTAATTGGAGAATTGGAAGACAACTAGATCGCCAAACGTAAAATATTTCGTGCTTTGCAAATGGCGCATGTCTGGAGGTACCTACAGTTTATAGTGGAATCCGAACCACATTTTTGCCTTTGTATTAAGTATACAGTTGATTTACTGTACACCCATTGAAAGCCTATAAAATAACCTACAAAACCTGTTAACAAGTCTACTCACTTATCGTCATCAGAGCCCTTGATGGCTTGCCAAGGTTCGCACACCTGCATGTACTGGTTGCCGAGCCTCGCAATGTTCATGATGCGCACCATACCCTCCCTGAACCTTGTTCGCTCCATGGCGATGTTGTAGGCCTTAACTTCCCGAGACACTTGCGCCAGTAGGTTCCACTCCTCGTCTGTCATCACCATCTCCGGCACCTGGCTGGCGAAGAACTTCTCACAAAACACCAGGGCCCTGTGGACATGGTTTGCCTTAAAAACTTGCATTGTCACTTCAGTCTGGTGCTATCTCAACTCAAACTTGAAAATGAATAACTGTTCAAGTGTTTTTCACTTTCATGTTTGCATACATTATACATTAATACATTACACATTAAATAATAAATGTCAAGGGTCTAGGCCGGGGTTAGGCAGAATTGCATCGGCATTGCAGTGTGCCTTGTGTAAGCTGTAAGCCGAGCCACAATTCAATAATAGTTTTTCTTTTACTGACTTTTTTTTCCTACTGACGGCAATAGGATAGTAATTTTGTTTAGTCCCACACAATTCCGGGACATTTTATTCCTTGAAACACTTTAAAAAATACAACAGAAACACAAACCTATTGACAAAGTTTCCAAGGTTGTTGAGTAGCTCAGAGTTGTTTTTCGTTGCGAGATCCAACCAAGAGAACGACGAGTCTTGACCCTCGGGCCTCACGTAGAGAAGGTAGAATCTAAACGTGTCAGCGGGTATGCCAGTCTCCTTGGCATCTGTACCAAACACGCCTACACCTCGAGACTTGGAGAATTTACCATCTTCGTAATTCAGATATTCTGAAACACGACGTAGTTTTGAGGGTATGAAATAATATTTGGTGAAATACCTGCATTTGGTCTGTAATGCATTTAGCTAGCTGTGTTGGAAAGCTTTAAACAGGCCTAGTGTATGCCTATCTGTGCAGAGCATATTTTAAGGGATTCTCACTGGGCGACAGTGGCGCCGGACTTTCGGGGGGACTTTCCATTACCCCATCAAAAAGGTGGCCCCGGAAATTTTTTTATAAATTAAAGCGAAAATCACACATTTCTTTCTACTTATCTTTTAATGCATTTTTCAATTATATTTGCTTGTAAATAGTTCATATAATCTCACTTAATTACGTATCCTAGAACGTTGAAACCGGCCAAGTCTCCCTTCACAACCTCTTGGGCCAAAATCATAGCTCAATACTCTAAAATATTTACATAATGTTATGTGAATCATTTAAAAAAAATATGCCGGCACCACACATAGCCATTGGGCGACAAAAACTCAGCACTGGGCGACACAAGTGCCCCAGTTAACATGTTATTTTATGCCCTATACGTGTGTGTATGTATATAAATATGTGTTTAGTACATACTTGTGTTGTAAGTTAAGTAGTGAGAAGTGTATAGGCAATGTATAGGCGGCAACACCCATGAAAGCAACCATTTTGTCAACTCTCTTTCTCTACACCTGAGAAACGCCCCCCTGGGGATGAAAGATTGTGTGTTGTATCTTCTGTGTGTTCAACCTGTATTTCTTCTAAGGTAAGCTAGCTGCTGTCCCTCTTTAGACCACAATTCAAACTAAACGTAAGCTTGAAGTTGATGTTGTAAGGCTTATGCAGCTTAGTATTAACAAAATTATTTTATATGTCCTGTAGTGTACCAAGTTAATAAAATAAATTAATAATACAGGTTGAAAAATATATGTGTGAAATATTAAAAGAGCTACTGATCGACCAAAGATCGCTTTTAAATGAGTTTGAATGAACTAAGTGTCGGCAGACACACATTCATTAGGTTTAAAGTTGTTAGGTAACTTTATCAAAGGTAGCAACATAAGTTTAATATAGGCTACACTTAACTCCCGGCCAATATTCATTCTCTAGGTCAGAATGCTGAACCCCTTACCCGTGGCACAAACATGGCTGACGATTGTATGTCCCTTGTCAACGCTCATAAGTGTTGCTGGGAACATGATAGCGTGGAAGGGAACATTGTCCTTGGCCATGAACTGGAACAACTCCACCTTTGCGTTAGGTCCCGGCTGCCACCAGGTGCGCCACTGGTCTGTGTAGCACTTGGTGATGCTCATATAGCCGATGGGTGCATCAAACCACACATAAAATACCTGTGGACAAATAATAATAAATCTTTATTGTCATTTGGTAATATATAAATTACAATGGACAAAGTGGTATAACTACTGCCCAAAATGGCACATTACATTATTTAAGAGAACAAAATAGTAAGTTACTCTATAAATTGTATATTTTTTTAGATATATAGTTCAGCAAGCTTACATAAGAAAATTAAGAGTCCAGGAGCTAATAAATACAAAAATTAAAGAACAAAAAAGGACTTCTTTAAAGTTGCCAACAGTTGCCTATCACCTAAACTATCTCAACAAACACAAAGGGGAAAAATGTTAGAATATCACACTCTGTGCTCTCTGCTACCCTTCATTCAACTACACTCTTTTTTAACTAAAAAAACTAGTAATATACAGCTGGTCTAAACTAGTATCCAAAATTAAATTTGTGTACTCACTTTCTGTTCAAACCCTGTCAAGGGGACTGGAATGCCCCACTTCAGGTCCCTGGTGATACACCGAGGTTTCAGTCCATCCTTGAGCCAGGACTTTGTGATCATCTCGGCATTGGCTGTCCACCCGGAACTCGTGGAATCCACCCATTTCTGTAGTCGGGGTGCAATCTGCGCAAGGAACAGTAATTGTACAGTGTATGGTGATGCAGTTCAACTTTTAGGGAGTGGTCTTTGTTAAATCAGTTTTAATACTACATTCACAAAATGTAGGCTGTTTGAGGGGAAGTGATTCCATCCCCTCCACTTCACCCTTACTTTTAAAACAACAGCCAACAGCTGATACACAAATTAAGATTAAAAAACCCGTGGTAGAATCCAGGAAATCTTCCGCAACAGACTTTAGTGTGGGTAGATGCTCCAGACAATTCAAGTAGAGAATAATTATTTTTTTCTACAGTCACCCGACAAAGTTTGCTTCCTCGTACTGTTTATAGTACAGAAAGCTGCTAATTGCAGCATATTTATACTTTGTCGTACGGTTTATACTTTGGCGCACATCAGGATTCCAACGAAACAACACTAAACAGCGTGGTTCTATTGTGCACGTAATCTGTGTACGCTTGGAAATAGGTTGGCAACACTTAAAGATAATAATACTATGAGCAGCTGATTGACTATTATAACTACGATTTAACCTGCCATTTCGTGTTTATAGTTTCGGGTTCGTTATTTCTGAACTTTCTGGACTTTTCTTTTAAACGTTTTTAAAACATTCCTACGATCTTTAGCATTCTACGAACAAGAAAATACCTTTAAAGCATTTTTTTTAGGCGCGGAAACCACTTCAAATTACAAAAACATACAGAACTATACTCTCAAGTCGCGGAGCACATTTCTTGCCGAGGAAAAATAGCGGAGTGATACGGACCGGGTAATACTTTCTCTAGGGCACCTATTTGTGTTGCCAGCTGAACCTAAAAACGTGTTGTATAGTGTTTGAAAGACTAATTATTTATATGCTTTATAGTGACTGTAGGAAAAATATAATGTGTAAACATTGCTCTCGTGTGCAGCAAAGTGCCACTTTGCCCACTAGTTACACAAATAACTATTTTACAATCATTACCAGGTAAGTAATTAGATTTCCAAACAATTATGAAACTGGACATATTCAAGATAAGAGATATATTTACATAAAATGTGCTAACTGTACAGTCACCTTTTGATTGTTTCTTTTCAACCCCTTGAATAAGGATTTGTTTAGGGTACTACTGTGTAACAATTTTAAAACAAACAAAATATTGCATTAATGTGACAAAATGTACAAGGACATCAGTTTTACATGGACCTATTTTTTATTTGGTCGATAACACAACACCTTTAATTAGACTACACAAAAATTAGAATCTTTTCTTTCACTGTTACTGACAGCATTTTCAACAAAGGTTTCACTTAGTAAGAAGTGATGAACAATCTTTATATTCAATGGTAAACTGCTTTGCAACCAAAATATGTGTTAAAGATATTGTAAAATAAGCTTAAACCAGTACAACTATGTTCTTTCGCTAACTTTGAGATTGAAAAACTAAGCTTATCGAGTTCACCCTATTGCTGGACACGATGTTCTTACCTTAGGCAAGTCGAGGAACAGCTGTTGAGCTTGTCTCAGTACCGGAGTGTTGCCGCACACTTTACACCGAGGTTTGATCAGCTCTGGAGCATTGATCAGCTGACCGCACTTGTCACACTGGTCACCTCGCGCGTCCTCGTACCCACACTTGGGGCAGGTCCCCTCTACGAACCTGTCTGCTAGGTACCTGCACGATAGTGACAAAATAATATATTAGAAACGTTTAGCACAACATGACACTTGATTACATAAGCACACTATAGTCATTAGTTGGAAAATAGCATGCACACAAAATAAAAAAATTTCAATCGCAGCAATATCTGTGATCATTTTGGGCAGTCGTGATTTTTTATTCAACAAAATGTTTGACTGTTCCCTTACAAAAAGCTAAACAAATTCTATAATAACATAGGCCTTAATACACAAAGAATAACAAAGTGTAATGAAATGTAATGATGATTGGTTGTTAGGCTAGTAATGATTGTCTAAAATTAAAATTTACCAGTCCCATACAAAATTTACATTCATTTTGTGTACTTTTTTCAGTCATCAAAATCCATGAGTCATTCCTGTTTCACTAGACATTCTGAATTCTGATTATACGTGGGTTATCCAGAAAGTAAAGAACGTTTCGTTATGACGCCGCTAGGCGCGCGCCGATCTCGTGCATTTTGGTATGTGCGTACTCGGCAACTCAGTCGGCATCCAGCCGTGACAATTGGAGCATTCTAGCGCTGCCCGTTTTTTCACAATTTCAACTTAAGATGAGCGCTGCAATAAAAAATCCCGCCAGTTAAGGGTTGCAGCCAGTGATACGGTTTGTGTTGGCATTAAACTTAAAATCGATAGACATTTATCGCCAAGGGTATGAAGTTTAAGGAAAAAAACGTAATGATTGAAAGTTCTGAGAAAATGGTGCATTCAGATTAAAAATGGCCGATCTGACGCTCATGAGTCATGACGAAGCGAAGGGCGGACGCCCGAGCATTATGACTGATGGAACTGGTCGCTAAAGTTGATGAAAAGGTTCGCAAAAACCGCCGATTCCCGATAACGGGTATTTCGCTTTGTTGCGTGACAATTTTAAACAACAAAGTCCTTGAAAATTGAGGAGAAGTTTCGGTTTTAAGTGTTTTCCAACAAAAACCGTATCACTGACCGCACCCCTTAACTGGCGGGATTTTTTATTGCAGCGCTCATCTTAAGTTGAAATTGTGAAAATACGGGCAGCGCTAGAATGCTCCAATTGTCACGGCTGGATGCCGACTGAGTTGCCGAGTACGCACATACCAAAATGTACGAGATCGGCGCACGCCTAGCGGCGTCATAACGAAACGTTCTTTACTTTCTGGATCGCCTAAGTATAATTCAGATAGGCCTAATTGAATTCAGCAAGGATAAACTTGTTCAGACCTATAACGATGTATGTTTGAGCTGATAGCCTATAGGAAATTAAATTGTGTTTTGTGTTTAACAAACACTCCTTTTCTGTACAATATTGCCCTTTTAACTGATTAATTTAAACCCCTTGTTGTCAAAGAATACGTGATAAAGGCATTGTAGTGGACCCGTCTTAATTTATAGGTTAGTCTTAAAAATGTTTAGTAGAGTTTTTGTAACCCGATGTTTTTAGTTTCTGACAACCTTTCAGTAAAAATAAAAATCAGATTACCAAGAGGATGGTGAACAGGCACTAGCACTACAACTACTGGAAAGTTATTAATTGGAAAAATATTACTTATTATTGGCAGATAAAATTAGGTTTCAACAAGAAAAGGAAATCTAACTGTAGATTAGTATTGGGATTTATAACTAATATTTCAGTGACTTGATAACATACCTGTCACATTTCTCACAGAGAAGCTGATCCATGGTCTGTGTGCAAGTGTAGCCGTTCTTGTGGCAGAGGAGAAACAGTTCTTGGACCACTCTGTAAAGAAACAACTTAAGTTGGAGTCGTAACAAAGAGAAAGCAAATGGCTTACTATTTCATCAAAATTTTCCTACTGGGGGCTAAGTGAGTGCTTAACTTCCAAAGCTTGAAAGTCTGATCCTGATTGATTCCAAACCCAGATGATCCAAGGGACCAAGAGAGATGCAATTGTACACATTTTTATAAACATATGAAACGTAATTTTTTTTATAAATCTATGGTTGTTTGTTTTCATTGTAGTTATGAAAGTATCATATATTTCATCCTTCCACTCTTATTTTATTTTATGTATCTATTCTATCTATATATTAATTACGTAAGCCGATTCTTTGCGTCAAAATTGTGGGCGATTGGGAAGTCGTAGAACGACGGGAGAGGGCTCAATTAAAGGTCTCGACCCCGTGACAGCGGGAAAAATAATGAAATTCCCCAAATTTTAACACAAAATTAGATATAAGGTTAAATGTTCTCCATAAGAATAGCATTAGAAGCCATTTACTGCTGATTTTATTAACCGACTTCCCCACTACCAACAAAAGGAGGAGGTTCTCAATTTGTTTGTGGCGATGTTTTTTTTTTCTATGTATGTTCACCAATTTCTCTGTGATTCTTTGACCGATCAGTGTCGTTCCACCACCAAAATAACCAGGAGAGTTTCTATTTGGTACCTTATATATTATGTTTAAGTATAATATTTGTTTCGGTGAAAAATTCTGAAAACCTTAAATATTCAACATTTATTTTGTTTAAATTTGTGCAGATTGTTTACATTTGTGCAGAGAAGGCAATAAATAATTATAACATTCCTACAGCTGTTAGTTGAAACCATTTCAATGAAGCTAGAGACAATTCTTCATGAAACAGTTGCTTCATATTGATCAATAAACTATTTCTTGCCATGCATTTTGTTTTGGTTACTATAAAAAATGTATTTTAACGTTTGATCTGATTTGTGTATACAGTAATTCTGTTTTTAGTATTGAATATTCTGACTTAAAAAAACATATATGTTTCAGTGAATAGCTGAATGATATTGACAAATAAAGGTGTATTGCGAAAACCAAAGTATTCGTAAAACAATTCTAAATATAAATTAAATGCAATTATTTCTTACACGATCTAAGAAGTGTGACAGTGCATAATCGTCAATTGTCTTAAAAGTGTTAAATATTTTAATTACTAAACATGCATTTGCAGATGTGGAATGTTTATTGATATTCTCTACCCAGTTACTATATCATATCAATACTATTATGCCTGCTTCGGAAAGTCATAGAGGAAGATGATTTGCAATTTCGACTAGGCTATATCTTGATCAAACAAAACCACCTACATGGCTTGCACCACTTTTAGCTGAACCAATCTTTCATATACATATTTCATTTTCAGATGTGGAATGTTTATTAATATTCTCTACCCAGTTACTATAACATATCAATACTATTATGCCTGCTTCGGAAAGTCCTAGAGGAAGATGATTTACAATTTCGACTAGGCTATATCTTGAGCAAACAAAACCCCCTACATGACTTACACCACTTTTAGCTGAACCAATCTTTCATATTTTCCAAAGGTACTATAGGTACGTGTTATCGACCAATTTTCCAATTTTGAGAGATTTTTTAGTGCTGGTAGCTGAGGAATAGCTTTCATATTGTTCCAAAAGGCTTGAGACGTTACTGTATTTCTTTTTATAATGTAGAAGTACACCGATTGCAGGAAACTATGATGTCTGACATTTCAATGTATCAAGAAAAGACAATTAGTTTTTCATTAGGCCTAATATAATGGACAACTCTTTCTTTCTTAAGGAATATCTAAAAATGTTTATTTTCATACCCATTGATTATATAACCTGAACAGGTGACTCAAGCAGTTTTAAAATAATGATGGTTCTGTGGAACTTTTGATTGTTTCAAACAGTTTTGCTTGTCAAAAAACCTCAAGTAATTAATATATAAAAAATTATACAGTCACTAAAAATCATGAAATAATTTATTTTTGTAAAAAAATACAACCGACTTCAATCGCTCTAAAAAGAATGAAATAATTTCAATAAAGTAAACTTTTGTATTAGGCAAGCTCAGGTATTTCAAGTCGGCGCGGCTCAAACTGCAAATATGATTGAAATTAAATATTGTGTGTGTATTTTGAAATAAATGCATTATGAAAATAACACACACAAATGTTCTATATGAATAGGAAAATAATTTAGTTTGATATTATGATAGGGAAAAGAAGCTAGTTTGGTATTAAAACATTACTTTTCCATGTTAGAAACATTCAAATGCGTTATAATCTTATTAAAGATGCTCGTTAACACCACTATAATGCCGATCTCTGATTACGGTAATAAAATAACACTTAACGCATAACTATGAAAAAGACATGCAGATTAACAACTTTAGTTATAGTCACCTGCAATATGGACACCCTCTTTCAATTTTGTATCAAAAATCATCATAGAGCCGCACCGACTTAAAATACGTGAGCTTGCCTAATACAAAAGTTTACTTTATTGAAATTATTTCATTCTTTTTAGAGCGATTGAAGTCGGTTGTATTTTTTTACAAAAATAAATTATGTTAACTTCAATACAGCTGATCATGATTTATCACTAAGCAAATAAGCAATACAGTATTACATTTGGATTACTCATTTGCCAGTCAATTCTGCAAATGTACTGTATACTATATAAAACCAGGGATAACGTTTCCTATAAAATTTAAAACTTTTTAGTTACGTCTTAGAATGTTTAAATCAATTATTTTACTGTGCAATTTGCAAATTTGTGTATTTTTAAGTAAATTAGTTATGCGTGTAAGTAGTAGAATCATAGGAGAATGGAAAAAAAACAAGTTATTTTCTTCTAATTTGAAGGTTATTGTTGTCTGTGTTTAAGGAATGTTTAACATGAAATAACAACATTGACTAAATGATAAGTGAATCAAGATTAAATGTAAAAATCCTGATTTGTTTGATTTCAAAAAATATGTTAAAGATTTATTCTACACTTTTTTGTATATTTACTAGCATTTTTAATTTGAGATTTATTGTTTAATGAAAATGTCGTATGAAGTGGAATAACCTCAACGGCCACTCTTAGAAAACAACCTGGGAATAAAGATGAAATAGGTTCGTACATGCAATATATTTGTTCATTAAGTAACTACTATGACAAGTTCCAATGGGCGGAAAAACAATATTGTTGGAGGATATTTTAACCAGTTACTGCCTGTTGCTCCAAGCAAAAAAGGTTCAAATAATATAGCCTAGCATGCGGTGGTAAAGGGAGCATTCACAGATGTAGAAGACAGAATTTTGCAGACTTACTTCTATTAGGTGAATGCCACTCCTACAATACAAGAAATAGGGGTACTATTGCAGCACCTGCCCATAGACTAAGTCTATATGAAAAGAAAACTGCCTATGCTGGAGGTAAATTCTATAATAAACTTCCTGATCACATTAAGAAAGAAAATATTTTTTTCAAATTTAAAAAACATTTGAAGTACCACTTGTTGTCACTACCTCTATACTCTTTAGAAGAATATATGTTAAATTAGTGTTTTTTATTTCTATTAGACTTGATTTCTTTATGTTAAGTTTTAGATATAGTTTTTACGCCATTCCATGTACTGATTTATGTACAATATGAAATAAAGACGATTTGATTTGATTTGATATATAATAGTAAAATCTAGAGGTAGTTTCCGTTTCTTAAAACTAACCAAAAATATGGATGTCGAAGATGTAGATGAAAAGAAATTTCGTGATTGGTTTCGTTAACTGGTTAATGGAACCCTAACCAGTCGCAAAATAAGTAGGAATCAGCCGATGATTACATCGGCCTATTTATATTGATTATATCCTATTATATTGATGGAGTGGCCCTATTTTGATAGCATATGTAAAGTCAATCGCACTTTTAGGAGGAATACCACCACGTAAACTTACAGTATGTTTTTATGTTGATCTGATCAGAAACAAATATCTAGGGTTAAGTTTAGTCAACGGGATTCCTTTACTTTACACTGATTTTGTTAAACTTTAACAAAAGGAGTATAAACTTAGAAATAATAACTGGGATGATTTAGCGGCTTTGACCAAGAAATAAGCTTATCTCAAAACCCCTGGGCTATATTTGCCTTTTCATATTTATTTGACGAAGACAATTTCTAAAATTACAATCAGGGAAGCTTTTATTATTATTCTCATTAACCACAAGACCAAAGCTACCTTTAGTAAACATTTATTTATTTACAAAAAATAATATGTTTGCTGCCTTTTCATGTTAAGCCTCTGGAGAAATTATTTATTGAAAATTTCATCAACAAATAAAGCAAACAAAGACGGACAACAAACAGTTTTTTACACAAAAGATATGGTGTACATAGGGATACCTATCCTGACACATAGATAATGTTATTCTGAGTTTGTTTAAATACCAGAATCGAAATAAATTGTTTTACATGTGAGCTTTTTAGGGACTTATATCCCCATAGGCCACTAGTTATTATTTTATTCCTGTATTTATTATATATATTATTTTATTTTATTATATATTAATTTTCTGATGGTACATTAATTTGGTTGTGGAAACAGAACAATGAAGGTGAACTTGTTTAATTCTAAGAAACTTGTTATCTTTTACATAGGAGACAGCATTAACTATACAGAACTCGATGGCAATGTCGTCTGACTACATCATTGTAGTCATTTTCCTGTATTATTGTTTTCTGTTTTGTATTTGAAAAGTCAGGTACAGCGACATTGATAGCCATACTGACATTAGCAAAATTATCACTCTTCAACATTCTTTGTGTTATTGCTAACACCCCCAACAGCACATCGATATTAACTAACTTCTGCGACATTGTATTATTTTCAAACATTTTCAGCAAGCTTTTCTAACAACATCGTTAGCTTCAGCAACGATCATTCATGGTAAGTGTTGGCTTTGCGCAAACATTTTATTTTTAATTACATAATTTACAAACTTGAGTTTGGAAAAGGCAGTTCTAAATAGCCGGCTTTTTAAGTGATAATGCCGCAACCCCTAGGTCTAGCCTGAAGTAATGTGAAAAACAATCCCAGGCTCGTGCCTAGCGTCTTTAGGACAAAAAAAAAAAAAAAAAAAAAAAAAAAATAGCCGGATTTGGAATAGCCACACTCTCCTGTATAGATATAATCAATAGTTTTTACTTGCCAACAAGAGTTTCAACTTACTCAGTCTGTTGAGGTGTGGTGGTGCGGCCGAACAGGTCAAACTGAATGTTAAACCACTGGTAGATATCTCTGTGGATGGTGAAGTACTTATCGCAAATCTGTCTGGGAGTCAGGCCCTCCTCTAGAGCCTTGGTCTCAGTAGCTGTACCATACTCGTCTGTACCACTGATGTACAGGGTGTTCCACCCTCGCAGTCTGCTGTACCTGTGGATCAAAATTTGGAAATTATAAGATACTGTGTTTGGTCTAAAGCAGCCAGGTGATGAACCAGATGCTAACATTAGGCAAAAGCTCCTGCACCAAGTCAAAGACACAGGTATAGGCTTACCCAGTTAGCAGAAAGTGGGATACACAATAAATTTCTGTTGGACCACGAATCCACCCCTATCACAATACAATACAAAGAATACTATGTGTTTCAGAGCTAATTTTCAGTGATACAAACTTTTCAGGTGCAACTTGGTGTTGAAATTGACATCAAATATGAAAATGTTGTTTTAAGGATTAAGGAAGACAGGACAATCAGCATACTTGCCTATAAGATAAAGACCAACTGCAGCAGGAAGAAAGTTGGTAGTGGCCTACCTTATTTAAATGATTATGTTTGTGAGCCATCTTTCCGTGATAGAAAATACTCAAACTATTTGTTGTTTCCATTTTGGAATCTTAAAACTCAACCTATGACCCTTTTTGACAAAATTTATTTCACAAAGACTAAACTCGATAAACAAGTAATTTGATAACATTTACTTTAAAATGTAATACCTTGCAAAGACGTCTGCAGACAGTACACAGCCGATGATGTTTCCTAAGTGAGGAACGTTGTTGACGTAAGGAAGTGCTGAAGTGATTAGGACATTCCTCTCCCCTGGTTTCGGCAGCCTGAATATAACAAAGATTGACAGATTACTGTGTGAGCTTCAGAAATACCACAAATAAAACTTGTTCAGACAGTAGACCTTCTCTCAATCAAATCTGTTTGGTTACGACCTCTGTTCAGACAGCCACATGTGAATAACACACACACTTGAACAGTTTGTATTTTGCCTTGTAAACAAACAAGTCACAGCCTTCTCATCAAGCAATTCAGTAGGGCCTATGTGTATAATATTATTGCTATAAGCGTTGATTGTTTAGTATGTTACTGACTTATTGTGGTTTTAACACGTTCGCTGCTGAGCGCTAGATGCCGGGACGGCGCAAGTTGCTGAACTAACTCTCGGCCGCTGCGTGACATTGCCACCGATACACTGAATTACAATAAAAACAACAGTAGTTATACTGGATGGCAATGTTCTGCAATAAAACTGGCTTTGGATATAGTACTAAGTGATTCTGATAGATAGCAGCACTACCCAGGTTACAGTCGGTAAAGTAGTGTCGCTATCTAGCAAAAAAGAGGTAAAACAAAGCCCTGTTCCAAACGACCCTGGTGGTGATTTGGGAAACTATATTTTTTATTGTCAGAAAAGTACGTCCCCACGAGCTGCAAAGAAATATAGAACGCTTGTGACGTGCTGGCTTATCCATAGCAACGTTAAACATCAATGAACGGTGACGTTCTGGAACATTCTTAGCTCCTGGCGCCGTGGCCCGGCTGACGTTCCGGAACATCCGTAGCAGCGAACGTGTTAAAATGTATTTTTCCTAACACACATGATCAGGATTTATGGATGATGTATTTAGTTTGGACGAGGGTCCGATTCTAAGGGGTTTGACCAAGGGAATCTACCCCTTAGAAGCTTTAAAGAATGTAAATAGGCTTTTTTGAACTCCTAGTCCAGTAGTTAGGTGCTCTTTTTATATCTACGCCAGTGGCATTTTTACATGATTCAGTGTTGAATTTAGTCCAAGTAGTTTTTGAATGTAGTCCAAACACTTTTAAAGGAAAGTGGTTCAAATTCATTTAAGTTTTATGGATGTGCCTGGAATTTAAACCGTCCCTCCCGCACCCAAGTCCGAGATGCTTATCCACTAGGCTAGCAACACACCCAATAATCTTATATCGCAATGTAAACTTGCCAATGTAATATTACATTGTGTCATTGTGTGTGACTGAAATTTTCCTTCCCCTGAATTTACTTAGAGAATAATGAACTCATTGGGAATAGGATTGTTTCCAGACTCAGCTGATATTTGCCAATGAATATATTTAGGAAACTATAAAAGATCTCAATCAACAGTTTACTCTGAATTAGATGTATTCCTTATGCTAAAATTTTAAATTAAAAAAAGATAAATCTAATAAATGCAAATGAGTTTAATCATAAAACATACTCCTTAGTAGAATTCCCATCCTAATGGAACAGTTGAAGCCAATTTTATTGTTAGTTCCGTCCGGTGTACTGTAAATGTCGTGGTTTTCTTACAATTTGTTTCTATTATTTTAGGGTTTGTTTCTCCTGATTTGTGCCTCACTGTTTGGTTATATAGCTAGTGGACAAGTTTTTTTTTATGATTAGATCGTTTTATTTGGGTAAAGGAGGTTTTAAATTACTGAAATAGAAAGAAAAGAATTGTAAACAAAACACGACTCTACAGTACACCGGACAGAACCAACTGTAAAATTTGCTTCAGCTGTTCCATAAGGATGGGAAATACCATAGACAATAGAGTAAATATAGACTGTCAAAGAAAGGTTTTGCACTCTGCCGCTAGAGCGTTATCGCAGTTCGATATCGGTTATCGGTATTCTATTCGGTTTCATTGTCGACTACTCGCCAGCTGTTACAAGCACTACCACTCTTGCAAACGAAATGCTTACTATATCGCTATTATCGTCTTCTGCAATCGCGTCAAAATCATGAACATCCTCCGTGGCTGTGTAGACATCATCATTGAATGCCGTGGTCCCGAAACGTCATCGTCGTCCACGATTGCGGCAAAATCGTGAACATCGGTGGCCGTGTAGACATTATCGTCTTCGTCTTGCGCGATCGTAGAAAAGACGTGATCATTTTTCCCGCGGTCATGAAAACGTCGTCTAGCACGGTCGCGGTTTAAGAACATCTCCAGCAGTCGTGTAGACATCATCATCGTCTTGCGCCGTCACGGAAACGTGATCGTTGTCTAGCGCGATCGCGGTAAAATCATTAAATTTCCCGACTTTGATATCAAAATAAAGACTAAATCCCAACTTTTTAAGACGATTTTGAAATGCAATACTAATACCTGACTTTCCCGTTTTCCCCGACTACTAGACACCCTGGTTAATTAGATTTTGACCTTGCAAATATTAAACAAAACTTTCCAATAAACCACTTCCTGAAATTATGGATTAATAAAGAAAAACTTTGAATCATTGTAATGAAACTACAAAAGTATAACAAATATATGTTAAAAAAATACAATAAATGATGACATTTAAATTAATTTATTGATTAATATTAAATAAGTCAGTGAACTCCAACCCCGGGGAATTCCTCCAAAGTTGGCAACACTACTCCCAACTACCAAGTTGTTATGGAAACGATCGCTAGCGCTTGATGCTGCAGCGGTGTGCGCCGTAACTACACATTACCCCTAGCGGTCGGCGCCGGAATATACGCTAACCGCAGCACAGCTGACAGTCTATATTTATTTCTTTTTGTCTATGGAAATACTAAGGGAGTATGTTTTATCTATGGTTTAATCTATATTTTACTTATTTAATACGCAAGCAGGTTTTTTGTGATAATTACTCCTCCGAAACTACTGAACCGATTGACATGTTTTTGGTGTCATTGGAAAGAGCGTAACGTGAAGTTGTGCAGGAAACTTTCTTTTTAGGGAAATAATTAGAGAGTGAGACCCTGGTGCCCTTTAAAGTTTCGTATTTCTCCATAAGGATAACATAGGAGATAATTTTTATTTACAGAAACATATGTTTGTTACTTGAACATAGTCAAAGTCTACTACATAATAATTGCTGTCTATTATGACTGTTAATGTATACTACATTTCAATCAAGGATTGTATACCTTAAAGTTTACTCATAATGGATCTTACTACTTTATTTTAATTCTGGGAATAGTAAAATTTAGTTGAGATTAAGTTACCTAGATTTAGAAAACTTTACTATAATAATTTATGTATTTAAAATCACAAATCTCTGACATCTATTATATTATTAAAGTGATACAATCAAATTTTATGTAAACGGTTAAGGTCATTTACCAAATAAAAATATAGGCATATGGCACATCAAAATGAAGCTTAGAGTGTGTAGATTTGCCGAAAAGTATTGATATGGACGAATTTCCTAAGGGCTCTGCCCCACAGGCTAATTTCCAAAGGGCTACCCCTGGCATATTTCCAAAGTTCAAATGATATAATTCAATTTAGTTCATGAAACAGCTGGTCAGTGCAATGAATTGGTGTTTGTTTATTTACTAGAAAAATGAAGATTGAGGAGGGTTATGTTTGGTTTTAAAGAAAGGTTGTATAAGTTTTGTTTAAGTATTGCTCAAAGTTTTTATTTTGTAATTTATATAGTAAGCTACATGGAAAGAGGCTTGACTAAAATTGAAGAATTATGGTAAAACATGTCATTCATGAAGCAGCAATATGAAGAAATTGATGCTAAGGTATGTGTCCGTATGGAGGTATGTTCTTTTGGATCTATTAACATCAAAAGTAGGGGTTTGAAAGTAGGATTATACTTTTAAATCAGTTTATATTTTCAAACTAAATCATAGAGTTGCTGTATTTTAAAACAAACATCAGCACCACTTGAATAGCTCTCTAGGTCACATTTTCTTCCCGTTGCGAAGCACGGGTATAGCAGCTTGTGTAGTAATAATAGTCAAAAGTTTAATGTAAGACTTACACAGGAACAGTGGGTTGTTTGACTTTGGGCCTTTTTGATGCATCAACAGACCAAAACTGCTTTGCCTCTGACAGTTCAGAATCCTTTAGTGCTGGTTCTTTACTGGGGCTCTAATAAAAATACACAACATGTCATCTTATATATCCATATAAGTTTTAAAAAAACTCAAAAAGTAGCCAAAACTTCAAAAACAAATCATATAAACAATCATTATAAATTGCACTTGATTTCCTTTTTTACGTAGACCAAAAAAGTTAAAATTATGCCTCTGGGCTCAAATTTTTTAAAGTTGGCTCTAAAATCTGTCTGAACCCTGGAATATTTTTCAAACATATTCCTAGATAGAGTTACGTAGGCATACATTTTGTTAATTTGGCTACAATTAACTTAAATTGTATCAAATAATTCAAATTAGTCCATTCAACAAAGTTCAAATCATTTGTTTAATATGTTATGGACAAAAGTAAACATGATTAGCCTACTTACATCAGTAACAGAAGCAAGAGCTTGCTGGCTAGAAGGATACCAAGTTGTGGAAGACAAACTTTGTAAGGACACCATCCCTCCAGCAGGCTTCAGCTTCTTCAATCCAGCCTAGTGAAAACAATTATTAGAGATTAAGTACTCTGAATTTAACAATAAATTGCTTGTCTATAGACAGTAGACACAGATGTAACCTAGGAACGATAGAAACATTACCTCAGGCTAGAATAGGGCAAAGCTTGTAGCTTTATCAAACAGCTAAAGCTGAAGCTGGATTGGGGTGATTTGAACCTGAAACCTTGAGCTAAAATCCCTAGCTCAGGTCCCCCCCCCCCCCAAAAAAAGCAGGTGTCTAGATTCCATTAAAATAGCTAGATTTTCCTGTTTCTAACAAAATTGTTCTTCGCCAACACTGAACTTCCTATGTCAGCGTCAAATGAATTTCATCACATTTACTAATTGCTTGGCAAGAAAATTAGTTCTCAAAAGCTGAAAAGAGTATGATAAATTAAGAAATCAGCTCATCTAAATCATAGTCAATATATAATTTTGTCATGTAATAGTATATTTCATCACAAGGGCGAAGAGTGAGGACTCTATTTGACCCGAGCTCAAGTTTGACAACCGAGGGGAACCCGAGGGAGGAAAATGAGCGAGGGTTGAAAAGAGCCTTTTTTGCCCGTTTGATAAACTATATTTTTAGTCATATTGCAGAAAAAAAATCCAACAAACTAAGTTAGAAAACAAAAATAATTTTTATGTAAAGAAACCCCCTTGAACAATATAATTCCAACTTGTTCTTTTTACTCATTTTTACTCAGCGGTCAGAGCTAGGCCTACTTTGATCCTATTGTATTAAATCGAAAAACATTTGAAGGCAAAATCACTGGTAGTTTACAACAAAGATAAAATATGCTAGCAGTTTTTAATTTAGTTTCACCCCATTTTTAATAGGATGATTAAAACTTACAATTACTAACTGAAAATGTGTGTACTGAATGGCTGTTTTTGGTCATACACCCATGTAATCTCATATTAGACTGTCAACTTACATGAGTCCTCAAAGGAGACCCCAAAATGGAAAAAATCAATGAACCGTAGAAAGCCTGTCAGATTCAATAGAGGTTTACATCTGAGTTTTGGGCGAAATGACAGTTTCTCAAACGATCCTCATATGAATTTTCAGGAGAATTATATTTTTATTTAAAACTACAAACAAATAGCCTAAATATAGAATGTGTGACACCTTAACAATAGCTAGTTTAGTGAACAAACCCACTGGCTTGATTAAATAATGTGTTTATCTATGGTTAATTTAATGATTTGGTTGCACAACCAGGCTAACAATGCTACAGTATCCAAAAAAGTTAAAAATTAAAGCACTTACATTGAATGACACACCACACCACTGATGTGTTACATGTTAATAATCTTATCTTTGTTGGAGATCAACTGGCCAATTAGAGTAACAATAAAAAGCACACACCCACTTTTGACAATTAATAACTAACTATATAAACAGTTACAAAAGCTATGAGTTGAATTAAAATTAAGAGGGTCGTTAGTATTATTAACTACCAATAAGGGAAAAACTAATTTATTTCTCATTATTTACAGTTTTCTTTTATTTAGTAATATGTTTCGTAATTAAAATTGTAGTACTGTAGTTACTTACTTGAAAGCAGTTTGAAATACTGTTTACCTGGAATTTTGGAAGTTTTTCCAAAGTATGGAACCATTCGCTCAGTTTTTCAGTCGCCATGAGTTGAGATTTTAACTTTTCATCAGTGAACAAAGGAAAAAGAGTGCTCCAAATGGAAATATCAGCTACAGTCATGGTATCCTGAAAACATAATCCTGTTGTTTATTACTGTGCACACGAAACAATTCCTCCAGATCAATTTTTCCATTAGGTAAATGGTAGCATATTATATCGAGTTCAGAAATAATTAAAGCAATAACTTTATATTTAATTTACAAACAAATAATAAATCCATCAAAACATAATTAGTTACAGATAAATATTATTTGTAATCTAACAAAACCTGAATGTTGACAAAAATAGACTTTGTTTCAACAAGAATGCATTCTAATTCAACAATAGTTATTTTTGTGAAACTAGTGGTGAAAGTCGCACTTTGCTGCACACGAGAGCAATGTTTACGCCCGAGCCACAGGCGAGTGCGGAATGATCTCGAGTGCAGCAAAGGCCTTTTTCACTCGTGTTACACATTATATTTTTCCTACAGTCACTATAAAGCATATAAATAACATAGATATGCTATTTAAATCTGTCAGAAAAACAAGCCAGATAACTGCAAACCTGCTGGATTCATGGGTCGTAGCATTGACTATATAACACTACACTGTAGTGTAGTGTTATATAGTCAATGGTCGTAGTAGACTTGTCAGTGAACCCTGGAGCATGATCAGTGCTGACCTCATTGGACCTCTTCCTAGATCTACTAGAGGATATCGTTATATTTTGGTCATATTGGATACTTTTTCAAAATTCTGTTTACTATACCCACTAAGATCTGCTACAGCTGCTCTAGTTGCTCAACATTTGGAAAATGATATTTTCATGATCTTTGGAATTCCAAAATTCTTTATCTGTGATAATGGTCCTGAATTTAAGGGCCAACCTTTGCGTTTATTGGCAGACAAATACCATGTCAGAATATTGTATAATGCCAAGCGTCATCCGCAAGCTAATCCTACGGAACGTGCCAACAAGACAATTGGAACAATGTTAAGATCATATGTGAAGGACAATCAGCGCTTATGGGACCGCAACCTTCCCCAGATTGGCTTCGCGTTGAGAACAGCTGACAACGAAACAACTGGCTTCACTCCAGCGTACCTTAACTTTGGCAGAGAATTGTGGCCCGATGGTCGTACTGACATGGAACCAAATCTACAAGATCCAGAACCTGAAGATATCAATCGTCAAGTTAAGAAGTTGGGAAATCTTCAACACATATACAAGGATGTGAAGATGCGTCTAGACGCAGCCCACCAAACTAATGAGAAGCGATACAATCTACGTCATCGACAAGTGGAATTTCAAGTTGGTGCCAAGGTGTTGAAGAGGAATTTCATTCAATCGGATGCAGCTGGATTCTTCTCCGCTAAGCTGGCATCGAAATTTGTTGGTCCATTTGAAGTCAGAAAGAAGATTTCGCCTACCACCTATCAGCTAAAAGATGAAGATGGACGAGACGTTGGAAGATGGCACGTCTCAGATCTTAGACCTTTGATCTCACGGAATCATTAGAAAATTTCATGAAATTTTCTCCGAGGAAGGGGAGAAATTTGTAACAGTCATACAGACAGATATTATTTACTCAAGGCCTATAGTTAGTTGTTTTGGCTGGCCACCGGACATCATAATCCTTATCTATTGTTGGAAGCGCACTCCAACCTTTATCAGCTGGACCTTGACTCATACCTGTCTGGGATTGTTTCAATACCCTATTGATTTCTCTGTCCACGTACATGGTTAGAAGGAAGTTGACCACAGAAGAATGTACTACACTTCAATAACCCATCCTTCTTCGAGCAACGGATTTTAGGAGGCATGGGTTTCCGGTCTTGGTTGCCACATCTGTGTCATCGCCCAACACCCTGCCCCACTAAGACTGTCTGTGGTCCAACTGCGGCTCAACTCCATCAGGGATGCTGCGACTGGTAGTTCAGACCTAACGTTAGCTACGGATCTGCCCACCAACAAAATTGTCAGCTGAGTGCTAGTTATTAAGCTTGCTGAGAACTTTGAAAACTAACTCTTGAGAAGTTAACTGAGATTATTATTTACTTAAACAGAAAAAAGTGTTACCTACTCTGGATTATCAACAGATATTTCTCTCTGAATTAGTTTGATTGAATTTTGAGAGCCATTTGGATTTAATTAATCAGAGTCAATTTAGCCTATGAGAGTTGAGAATAAATTTTGATTAAATCTTCGGCAGTGGGACTTAGATGAATTTAGCGGAATATTATTTTTATTCAGAACTTTTCAGAGCTATAATACGTCTGTATAAATAAGGTGAACACCAACGATAACTAATTTGTAAATTACAGTGATGTTTTGGTACGTAAAAATGATTCTTGCTGCTACCAACGGTTCTAAGGAAAAGAACCAGTACCAAAAACCAACGTTTACAGTTAAGAATTACATCCGACAAATTAAATGCGTTAATCAAGTCCCAAAGTTATTGATTTCTTGGTTTTGGATTTCCTCGTAAAAGATTATTGGCAATCAAAGTTATTTCCCATTAATTGCTTTATTCGTAAACAACTTTTAATGTAAAATTATTGGTGTCAGTTTGAAAAAAAAATCAACCTCATACTTAAACAACTGTTTGTTATTTAATAGATTACGTAGGCCTATTCTCTAAACAATGATCGTATATCTTTTAACATTACTTAATGTTAACATATCAGTAATACGAATCAACATTAGAATGAAATGTGACAAAAATGACACAACACTGGGTTTTTGGACGATTGTAATTTTATTTCTTAAGTAGGGAGGCCGTGTATTCTAGGGAAAATTACCGGTATCAAGGATCGTCGTCGAAAAGGTTGTTATGAATAATTGGGTAGGCGTAAGTACCCAAGAGATGGGCTATGGGCCTATTGGCTGTATGGTCCGGCGATTGCATCATACGGTGAGTAGGAAAAGAAAAGAACACATCGGAAAAGCAAGTTTAGCATAATCCATAAACCGTAATTCTCTGTTACAATCACCCACTGCAGTTGTGATTTTTTACTTTACACTTTACACAACCGCCATTGAAGCGCCGTCAATGAGTGGAATCCTTGTTAGTAAGCTATTGGCGACGATCATTAATAAATTCAAGTTTCCCAGCCCTATACAACACTGATTCAAGGTCTTCTTTCTGGTTATCAAAACTCAAGAACAATTTTACACATAAAGAATCTCTGGTTCCTGACCTGGATGATGCCTAGTTATTAATTATTTAGTTTACCGTTACACTATATTATTCCACTTGCAATTAATTAAATCCGTTATGTAAGACAACGTTTTTAATGTCACTTGGATTTGATTTACCTTCAAAACGAGATCGGAAATGGTTGCGGTATTTGTAAACAACATTTGTAAACATATCAGTGACAGCTAGAAAAAATCATCTTGATCCGAACAGCTGTTCGTTATTTCATAGATCATTATGTGATAAAAATTGGACGAAAACTTGACAAAAATCGCACAAAACTGCATTTTTGAACGTCCGTAATTTTATTTACTAAGTAGTGAGGCCATATTTTAATGGCTAAAGACACTCTCGCCAATCCAGTGAATACATTAAAATGACTTGGATCTTGATAGGTACTCTCGTTTTCCTGGAGAAGATTGCGTAAAATGCCATCTTGAGTGTTACAGAAAGACAGAAAGACAGACAGACAGACAGACAGAAATTTAGATGAGACTTGTTTTGGCTTCTTTAATGTATAAAACGTAAAAATAACCTAAAAATTTATGATTCTAAGCAATGTACAGACAAAACTCAAATTTTATTTATATAGATAAACAAATTTTGTTTACATCAAAACTAACAGATGACCATTATACAAAGTTGTTTACATCCATACGAAAATTGGGTTATGTGGTTGGTGATGTTTCAGTGAATTCAAGTAAAACTTTGTAGGTAATGTTATTTGTATGAAATGTAAAGAAGAACATGTTTTAGCCTACGATAGTTTTTGTGTTGTGATATTATGTGTCATTGGTATTTGTAATTTTTCTAAGATACCTCGAAGAGATCGCTCACGTAATGAAAATAATAGGGCTCGCAATGCAAATAATAGATATATAATGAGAAATGATCTTTTTCAACCTTATCAACGATAAATCAAATCACGGTTTTTGAAGTGACGCAGGTTGCTAGTCATGTATTAAATTGTAATTGTAATTTTTAACATATTCAAATTAAAAATACAATTTAACACTATTTTAAAAAAGCTACTGCAATAAGATAGCTACAAATTCACTCATGCTTTTTATTTCGCTGACTTTCTGTATGCATGTTGAAATCGATCATGAGCCAGATTAATAGGTTACACTTGTGACTTGTTTTGACATGAAGATTGTTGAAATTGCTTCATTGACGTCATTCACTTTGCCAGTTAACTAACGGACTTTGACTAACAGTGTAGTAGTATATGTTGTCGTAGAGATCGTTGCAGGTATTATTAATAATATAAATTATTAATTTTACTATTTATTTCATAATATTGTATCTAATCAAGCATAAATTGTGTTATGGTTGGTATCACCAATGTTATTTACATTAGGTTAGGTATTACAAAAACACTACATTCAAGATAATTCATTCAAAATAAACCCTATAAGCATTTAAACGATGATTTTATATATTAAATTTTATTTTAATGATTAATGAGGAACTTGCATAACCTTAACAGGGTGCAATTTGTGTTATATGCAGATATTTTGCAGCTATTTACAAGTGCAATTTGAAGATATTACAATATATTTTTAACAATTTGAACATGTATAAACTGGAATTACGAGGCCAAATTTTATTTCTTGATGCATAAAATATTAAGGTATTCCATTTTCATTGGTAAAACTGTCCTAAATAAACATCCAATCAGGTGAAGTATTCCTTTTGCCATCTAGATATTTTACAGTTAGTTGTTTGCAACATAATTTATTCAGATTTAACTTCTGTAACCTTATAGATATTTTATTATACTTTTCTTCGTTATACTAACAATTGGTAGAGTTCTGTGTATGTATACTAACACTGTAACTACTCTATATGATATTATGGAACCTAAAAATATTTAAACGTAGTCTTAATTTATTTGGTAACCCCATTTTCAGAAAATAACCTACCTGAAGCGTTGTTATGAATTTAATGGTTAGGGAGAAAATTCCATAACACTGAAGATCTCAAATTCCCATGTTTTTCTAATGATAGACTAAGTTGTAGTTAGCTTTGTTCAAAACCATATTATGATCAAATTTGATAATTTTTTCATACTAAACTAACAACATTTTACTTAAAATTCATGTTCAACCTTTTCAGTAGTAGCAAACCTAAGAGTCAACGAAAAACTGTTACGTAGAATTTTGGTCTGCATAGCCCACATTGCATATGTGTACACTACGCAACTTTGATACATTTTATCACATGCAATGGGTCTATATTGTAGGGTAACTCTTTATAATTTCTTCCCAGTAACCTTACACATAACTTAGATATTGTATAAATTTGAAATAAAATGTTTTTATGGAGGTAAAATCAGTAAATTAAAATCCGTTTCTTCTTCATTCTTTGATTTTTATTAAATCAAATCAATGTTCTTTGAACATTTAATTTTAACTTTTTCATTGAGGGGTTCTTTCAGTCATTCAATTTCAACTTTATAATTGATTTCTCAGTATGCATTAATATTCTGTTGAATTCATAAAACCAGGTAAATTTGACTAATTCGTCAAATTCATCGAATTTGTCTGCTCAAAAAAATTCAATTTTCATTGATATTTAATTTTAATTACCATTCTTTTAAAGTACAAGTGAATTCAAGATAACAAAGGCTATTGAAACTTCAAACAAATTTATGACAAAACATTAAATTTAGATAATTTTATTGATATTTGATTTAGCAAGACAAATATAATAAGTATTTGAAATTGACTTACCCAAAGGGAGATTTCAAAAGAGCGCTAATCTTTACCATAATAACATGCAAAAAGTAACAAACTACTTTAACACAAGACAGACTGAGAATGAGGGTGAGTCTAGGAAAATCATGCTTACTGTGGATTTGTTCTCTCATTGGCTAAACGTTCCGGAACATTTCAGTCAATAAGATCACACCTTTTCTTGCTTCAACCTCTACGTCCAGATATGTGCTTTCCATGGAACATTCAAGACTTTCATGCTAAATTTTGTTATTATTTGAATCAATTTAAATTCATAATTTGCTCAAAAGAACAGTTTTCTCAAATTTACAACTTGATGAAAAATATTTTAATCAAACAATTCTAGTAAAACTTTGTCCAAGCAAGATCATTTCCAGACCCAGATGCCATTTGTCATTGGGCTAAGAATAATTGATGCTATCTATCAAAAAGGTCGACGTTAGATAATAACAATACCAGGGTTTGGACCGTTCCCTTTCAATTCATAAAAAATGCCACTGGCGTAGAAAAACACAAATAAACTGAAAATAAAATGACACATTATGTTACAGTGATGTTGAGTGTCTTTGTGTTGGTGATGGTAGGCCTACTAGCAGCGGCCATTGCAGAACCAGTGAAAATTCTCAAACCATTTCTGGGAATGGAAAACGTAGAGAAGTATCAAGGCACAAACATGGACGAAGGAGGACGGGACTGATTTCGTCACGAAAATAACATCGCTAAGAAAAAAGAAGGGCGAATGCAGGACTTGATCAGATTTGACAAAGATTTGATCTTTACAATAAACGTTGATTTATCTTGCTTGTATGTTTTTTCAACATCCCAGTTAAGATTATTATATACCAACAAGCTTTAAATCACGAATTTAAGTTATAATAAAAGTTTATTTTAATAGGTAAACAAGTCTACTAGCATTATAGTATAAATTCAGATTAATCTGAGCTTTACGAACTGGTGTAAAAGTTAAAGGTATCTTGAATGTCATAAGTTATTTTTTGTAATCTGTCAATATCAATCAACTGAGATTCACAAAAAGTAACTAAATACAATTGTATAATGTTTTACTACACCTTGTATAACCCAAACACTGTATTGCATTTTATCAAGATTGTTAACTAAAAGGTTTTTTAAAAACGTCATCACGGTACTAAACAGGTAAATGAGATTTTTTGATGACTTCCCCAGTTAATGTTTCTAATATCAAAGCTGCTGTTGGCAATAAAAAGGTTGCGTAGCAGCGTCTTCTTTGTGTCATAAAATATTTAATTCCTCCGCTTCACTAACGCAATTTCAAAAAGCCGACTTGAAGTTGGTAAAAGAAGGTAATGTTAGTGAAGAATAGCAATAATATAATATTTGTATCAAATATATGCAATTTATGAGTAAGTTTTCTACAAACTTTGAGTGTTTTACTGAACTAAAATAATTTGTGTCATTGTTTCTGTATGGAAAGAAATTGTAAGCATATATTATTATATCTAAGAAAGTCATTGCATCATTTATAAAGAAAAACTCATGCCTATATGGAAATAATTGGTGAATTTTATTGGTAAAGGGCTAGACTAGAATTATAATAGGAAACTGTTCATAAAACAATACTATCGTTCTTTTGAGCACCTAAACACAGGGCAATTCTAAATGATGATACACTTTTGAAACTCTATAAATGAAAAACCATACAACCTATCATCACGGGATGAGAATCAATTGAAAGAGGAGATTCTAAAGTTTTGTTCGACACCACTTTGGTAAACATTGTTGCAAAATTAGCCTCTACAGACATTTTTAGATTTTAACTACGATTTTTAATTGATTACACAATTTAAAATCAATGAAACTCGAAAACACAGAACCACAGTTCCTCACAGCTTACAATAGTGGTGTACAACAATAACAGAGCGGTAAATTATAGAACTAATTGACCCTTAGTGGTATTACCACAAACGTTTGACAATTCAACATATATGTATGAGGTGTATGTATTCAACACGTTTTTAGGTTCAGCTGGCAACACAAATGGTGCCCTAGAGAAAGTAGTACCCGCGGTCCGTATCACTCCGCTATTTTTCCTCGGCAAGAAATGTGCTCCGCGTTTTGAGAATATAGTTCCGTATGTTTTTGTAATTTGAAGTGGTTTCCGCGCCTAAAAAAATGCTTTAAAGGTATTTTCTTGTTTATTAAGATCGTAGGAATGTTTTAAAAACGTTTAAAAGAAAAGTCCAGAAAGTTCAGAAATACCGAAACTATAAACACGAAATGAACACGTTAAATCGTAGTTATAATAGTCAATCAGCTGCTCATAGTATTATTATCTTTAAGTGTTGCCAACCTATTTCCAAGCGTACACGGATTACGTGCATAATAGAACCACACTGTTTTGTGTTGTTTTGTTGGAATCCTGATGTGCGGCAAAGTATAAACCGTACGACAAAGTATAAACCGTACGGCAAAGTATAAATATGCAGCAATTAGCAGCTTTCTGTACTATAAACAGTACAAGGAAGCCAACTTTGTCAGGTGACTGTAGGAAAAAATATTTTACAATCCTGCAAAAGTGATTTGTAATTCAACAATAGATTGAACTAATAGATGGTTTAGAGCACATCACAGATGTTTAAAAATTCATAACATTTGAGTCAATTGGATCTTTGACTAATCCAATAGTCAATGATTGGATACACCAAATCATTTGATTCTGTTTTAACTGTTGACTTATGAGGTAGAGTAGTCTGCATAGGACAATTTTCTTGTGGTCTACTTCAATTAAGAAGCAGTTACCAAAAGTTTGGTGTGAGTAGGTATGTTAGGTTGAGTAATTAATTTTGCTTAGCTGAAAACAAAATTTAGTAACCCTGACTAAAACAGTTTTTTCATAAGTAGTCCTGTTTAACGATAAACATCTATTTGGGACAAAAATCAACATTATCACTGGGTGCAAATAGTCCAAAAACTTATGAAGGACGATTTGTTGTCACTATCTGAACTACCTAAAAGCATGTGAAAATTGTAGGTGACATATTTCTTAGCGGTTTAAACAATGTTGGATTGTTTAAACCTTACAAACAGTTTAAGACTGACTTGTCTGTACCATAAATGTATGTATTATTGTAAAAATGGTGTTTACCGTTGAAAATAAATAAATAAATAAACAACTTTTATCATCAAACTAATCAGCTAACATAATTCTTACCTTAACTAAATACTTGTATTTTTTCAATGCATTTTCAAGGAGGGTCAGCAGCTGAGGAAGAGGTTCGTTGAGAGATCCTTTTGCATCCACACATCGAGTGACACAGGGCTAAAACGGACAAATATTTTAAGTTTATTTAGTTTGTAAATCTTAACCACTTACTCTTCTGCCCAAATTATTTTACGTGTCCAATTCAAAGGCAAACTTGTGCTAGGCAAATGAAATGTCAAAAAATTAAAACTGACTTGATAACAAGGCACAATATAAATCATTATGCTATTTTCAATAATAGCAGTTAACAGGAAGAAGTCAATGTTAAACATGTAACATTTGAAATCCGTTGACTTATGGTGGTGACCCAAAATCTGATGTTTTAACGATTTCCTATAAACGTTTATGTTCCTATATTGCCACAATAGTTCTGACAGTTTATTCACAGCATGTTTCTTCTCATTTTCAGCCAACGTAACAGCAAAAGTTATCACAACAATGGGAATCATATAGGCAATAAATCCGATATTCCATGACAGTCCTGCATTACTTATTTTATTTGGGCGTACCAACTTTGTGAGAAGAAAAATATAACTAGGTAATGCACATATGGCGGTAGTAACAGTACACCAGATCACATAAACTCTATAATGTGACTTGACTTCTTCAATGTCGTGGTACAAGCAGTTTTGTAAACGTCTAAAAAGAGCCATTTTCTTTCTAGCTTCCACAAACTTCCTTGATGCTTTGTTACCTATCGGTGATATTCTTGACAAATCCTCAGATAGTTTAGGTAATTCCAAGTTCTCAAGAGTTCTATTTACTGATTTGTTCATGGCCAAATTTTCAAATAAAATCCCTAAAGAACCTGCAACCAAAGAAATTTTCATCCCTTTGAAGTGTGCTGCATGTAAGAATTCCAAAATCTTTGGAAGAGATAACTCAGCTATGTGCCAGACACTCCATATTTCAATCACATACCAAACAGCGATGATAAAAATAAACACGTTTTCCCAACAGATTAACTTTTTCTTAACCCCCAGCAATGTTTCGATCACACTAAGATTTAAAGCACTAGCAGTTTTAGCTCTGTAATCAAATATTGCACTGATAAATAGATAGGATTTATTGAAAGAAATTAGAAGCATATGAAGTATTTGTAAATACCAAAAGATGGCATCCATTCTTGCAAAAAAATTACCATAGAACCATAAATAGCAAGTCATTATAATATCCAAAACTGTGTAAGTTAATATAACCACTTTCTTTTGTTTAGAAGGACGAAAATCAGAGAGCGATACACAAAATTGACCGTGAAAAGTCTCAAACCAGAACAAATATTTAAATTTCCCCAAATATCGAAACATTATATCAGTTAATGAGTAATGTTCTGGAATTTGTTAGTTTGATACACTTTCATTGAAGAACTCAAACTTCGAGGAATAAATGTTGCATGAAATGAGACATGTGCTCATAAAAAATTTATTCAACATAAGAACTTTTCACCAAATTAAATTCGCTGGCATTGATCAATACTAGGTACTTAGCTAAACAAATGTTTGGCAAAGAAAAACTTGTCAATACGTGTTTAATATGGACAAATTACAGATAGTCATTTGGATAGTAGGTAATCAATTTTGAATTGTTTTGACCAAGTTACAACATATAACAACTTTTTGAAGGTGTTACTAGCACTATACTACAAATGTAAAAGTTTGCCAGTATTAATTAAGAATGAGTCAGTGTCAGATGTAGCCCCTGACTCTCTTACTCAGTGGATTTATTAATCTGTTAGGTAAACATGATATTGAATTACAAATTAAGCAAACCTAGTCAGACTAACTAAAAATACCTTTAGCCTAAAACAAGACATTAGGCTATTACTCTACGACAAAAACACAATTGTGCTATTGTGGATCCAAAACAACTTAAATTATTCCAAGAGAGAATTCAGTGAGGAACTGACAACACTTGTAGAAAAGTAATGGACCAAAGAAAGACTAAACCTGAGGCAGTCCTCTGCCAAAATAAACAGGTTTAGAATCTGTCTTGCATTTGTGTGTCTATTGAATATTTAATACCACTAATCATGTTCACTGGGAGTGACGAGTACTGTAATCTCATCACTGCTAGTGCTTTCCAGCGGCGCGCAACAAATATAAGTAGGCCTACTTGTCAAAGCGCCGTTTACAAACTGTTGTTCCAGAGTGAGATTAGCCACTGCCGTGAGACATTGTTTCGCCTGCCGCTTATTGTGCCAGTTTTATACTTCAATCTCAACGTATAATACATTTTCCTATCCGACAATTTTGTCGGTGTTAGGGATTGTAGTGTAGTGTTTAGGCTTGAGTTTAATTACATGGACTAATAACGATAATGAATTTAGTAGCATTGTGGATGGAACCTAACCTCAAAATTGTGCTTTGAGCCCCTTTTTGCGGTATTTTTTTATGGTCTATCTGTGTACTCCGCTTCTGCTTTTTCCCCTATTTGGCAATACTGATAGCCGGCTGGCAGTTTTGTTTACTGCTTCTATCTATTGAGTTTTTGTAAAACCACGTCCACAACGACTGGGACACAGTAAATGCTATAATATGCCTCTCCTATGGGATGAAACTACTGTAAATTCAAACATTTTTATACTCTTATTGCATTTTTTCACTCATCTACGCAGCTCATTAACTGACCACGCTCCCGGCAGCGGCTGACCATCACGCAACCGCAGCGAACTTGTTAATAGGTACAATGATTAATAACTTAACAAAAACTGTTTGAAACTAAATTTTAACATTTTGTAGGTAATCTAAACATTCAAATAAACAAACATTTAACAAGCATAATGAATCAGCTATGCAGATAAGAAAATAGGTAGGCCTAGTAACAATTTTAAAAAGTGCATGTTCCATCATAGACTCTTCTAACGCGCAGACTTGGAATACTGAAACAGCTGTTAGATTAAATAAAATAATTGAGCGTGTACGTACAATGTTTATGTTTACAAGTTTATCATTCCGTTTATTACCATAGCAATAGGCATGCTGGTGTGACGTTAGAAGAGGCTATTGCTCCATACAACTAACAAGTAGGCTACCCATGAAAGGCTGAGCCCTTATTATACTCTTACCTGTAATTGCATAGCCTCCCAGTCCAGCCAGTTGTCTACAGATGGTTCCGAGTTTTTAGGAGGAGGAAACAGAAGATAAGCTGCGGCATTTGTAGAGAATAGAACATCTCCAGGCGAAATTTCAAGGATGGGAAGTCGCTTGAGCCCATCTGTAAATAAATGACAAGACAATTAAAATGGATTCGCTTAAGTTAAGCTATGGTAACTTATTGTCTGATAACATAAGTTAATTAACTTAATCCGCTCCAGTTTTGTATCTTTGCCAAAATTATTGGAAATATAGGCCTTATTTAAGATCCGTACTGTTTGATAAACACTCAACTACTTAGGGTAAGTTGGCTAAGCAGTTTATAGGCCTAGAACTCATCTGTATAACTTAGCCGACTGGGCGCTCATCTGATTGGAGCATAGGTGATTCCTTTACATGTATCGGACAACAATGCTCCATGGACACTGTTTTAACTTAGCGTAAATTCTAAATAACTAAGTTAAGGAGGTTCAGAAAGTACCTCAGCACCCCCTTATCATGGGTTGTGGGGGGTTTAATTTGACTGAAGATGAGAACATAACTTTTGTAAAACATTCCACTAAGAACTCGACTGGTAACCCCATTTAGCCTAAAATGACTTGACCTAACCTCTAACTTTACTAAACACTTACTTAGCCTCAAGCCATAAGTCAGGACTGCAGTTGCAATCTGCAAACAAAATGGCTGAAATATTCAGTAGGCCTATATTAGACTTGAAATTTCTACATAAATTTGCTTGGATTAAGCCAAAGTTACCTGAAGCTGGTTTATCTGTAATCACAAGTTCCAAGTTCATTTCAGCATATTCGCCGGCTATCAGTATTTTTAACGCAGCTGAATTGTCACTATTTGTTATTACTTTCATGATGAGATTTTCTTTCCGGTTCAAGTTTATTGAAACCGACCCTAATTATTTAAATGTGTGTGTATAAATGTTAGCAAGATTGTATTTGTATAACCTTAACCTCAACAAATATTAACTAACATTTAAACGTGGACGTTTTGACAGGAGGAATGACAGGCAGCGGGGCAGCAGGCAGCAGAAAGCTAAGTAAAGTGAGAGTAAGAAAAATGCATTGTTATGACGCAATACATAGAGTATTAGCATTGACTTTAAGGGTACTTACTCAGGGGAGGTATAGAAGAGGCTACGATGACAGCTGAGGGCTTCTTATTAGCTGAGGGAACGCCATTACCGTAACAAAACGTTCGGTAGCCATCGGCCTCGGTTGTCTAATGGTTAGCGTGCCGGGCTGGTATACTGTAGGTCCCGGGTTCGAATCCCGCTAGTAGCATTAACTTTTTGACCAAGATTTTTTTATTATCAGCAAGTTTGGTTGGTTTGGTTTGGTTATTACAGTTTAATTTTATTATTAAGTCATTATAAAATTTTAATTGAGCAATTTCTAGTTTTATTTAATAAACAGAATTATTTTTCCGATTACTAAACTTTTGTTATATTTATCAGCAAGTTTGGTTAGTTCGGTTAGGTTATGATAGTTTAATTTTATAATTAAAAATAGTAAAATTGAATTTGAGGCATTTATAATTTTATTTTATAAACAGAACTATTTTTGCGATTAGTAAACGTTTATTGCCAAAGTGATCTCTACTACAGCGCTGTTCACGGAGGAATTTTGAACTAAATGCCTCATTTGTACCTCCCCTAAGTCAGACCCGACTTTAAGAGTCAATGGTATTAGCATTTACTTTACAGGGTGTTTTTTAGCGAATTTCCCATATAGGGAATAAGCTATTACCGTAGGTCTCATGGTAAGACCTGGACTCGGGACCGATTTACTTTTTCATTTTGATGTCCACAGAGGCCAAAAACACCATCCGTTCAAATTCATATATATATATATATATATATTTATATATTTACATATTTATATATTTATATATATATATGTGTGTCCGTCAGCACGATAACTCGAACAAAAATTATCCGATTTTGATGAAATTTGGTATAAACGTGTAAACCTACATTTATTTGAACGAGTTCGCGAACCAGCATGATCGGACCATGGGAACAGGGGTTTATGGGGGGTTTTATGGGGTAAAAATGGGTTTTTCCCATTTTTGACCCTAAAAACAAAAAATTTGGGAATTTTTTTCCCAACCATTTTGTAGAGCTTAAAAAAGTAAATAATTTAGTATATTGAAGCATTGTTGTATGCCTAATGGTTACGGAGAAAATTCAAAAAAGTGCAAATTTAAAATTCCCATGTTATTCTTATGGAGAAAATGAAAACTGTTGTGGTTTACTTGTTTATGGATATATATTGATAAAATTTGGCAAATTTATTTATTTCATCCCATACTATTGACTTATGGTCGAAAAACGCTTTTTACCTTCCCTGTAGCAGAAAACCTAAGCACTCGTTAAATCTAATGTTATTTAAATTGAGAATAAATATGTCTTATATATGGAAATATTTGAGTAAAAATGTAATCAGACAAGTTGAAATTCGCTTAGTCTGCAGGTTTGCTGCGGCGGGGGTATTAAGTGTGCCACCATTGGGATCTCAGTAACTAATGATTTTACAGCAAACTTTAAATGGGGAACATTCCCTTGTTTTTAAAGAGGTTCAAAAATAATTAAATGAAATTTTTGTAAATGGCCGCCATTTTCCAAAATGGTGGTCAACTTTGAAATTTCTTATGGAATATTTTATCATGTTTTCGGATAGAACATGCAATTTAAAAACTTTTTTATTCTTGACATTTTTTCGATAAACCCACTCGTTTAGGAGTTACAGCCTATGGAAAAATGACTTCCGGTGTACATTTTACATCATGTATAGCTCCTAAACAATTAGGTTTATAGCGAAAAAGCGAAGAGTAAATAAGTCAAATAAGTCTTAAAATTGCATCCACATTCCAAAAAGATCATAAAATTCGTTAAAAAATATTATTTCTATTATTTCAAAAATGGCGGCCATTTTCCAAAATGGTGGCAAACTTGAAAAGTGGAAAACTATGTATTTTATGGTACCATAGCTTATGAGATGGTGTCACACATAATGGTTTAGACAAAGTAGTCAAACTATTAATTTCGATATGACTATAATCATAACTAGCGCTATAATTAGTTATAATTAGTTTATAATCTTTAATAAATGTTTCGGGCAAATTCATCAGTCAAAATTTCTTAATTGGAAAATAAAAATTAGCTGTAGGTGGTATAGAGTATAGTATAAAAAAATCATGATCTATCAGTTATCCAATTCAATATAGCCAAAATATGTAATTTATTTGCCTTTGCCTTGTTGCCTAGCAACTGAAAGAGTTTTCAGTATTGGGTATGTAAACGTAAACAAAGATGTGTCAACTGTCAAACTATCCTAAGGTCTAGTGTCCAGTCCAGTGATGTTTTATTAGGATATTTGATGGTTAAAACGAAAATATTGGTGAAAATTAAACATTATTGTTGATATTGTAAATCGGTATCATATTCACTTGGGATAGGTTAATCATTGAAAGTGAAAACTTGTGAAACATAAATGTTTAATGACAATCTAGGCCTAAACAGAAATATATATTTTTAGGTTTACATTTACAATAAGTTTGTTTTGTTTTTTAAAATCTTAGTTCCAACTTTTGTTTAATAGTTTTTATTAAATATCATTTTTATTTTTGGTTCGCGATTAAAGCCAAGTTATAGATACATAAGTTACCGTAGCCTACATATTCAAATATCCAAAATGGGCCAATTCGATATTCAAGGCTAGATAGATTTATCATCATTATCAGTTCATAGTCTACCCAATTATTCACATGGATCCATTTTATGAAGCACTCAGTCTTTTCCGTAGGCAGAAATTTGAAGATTGCTGTACAAAATGTACAGAGCTTCTAGAACTCAACCCAAGAGACCAGGTAAGAGATAATTTGGAATCAAATTTATTAAGTAGCGATTATCATATTAGGCTAGTAAAGCTCAACACAGTGTGATGATTGATAAGACTTGATTTTGTCATTTTCTATTACAGGCTATTTGGGCATTGAAAATGAAGGCTTTGACCGCTCAGATCATGGTTGATGATATTGAAGCTGAGGAAGAAGGTATTGCTGAGACCGCTTTTGACATGGACACACTAGCTCAAGCTCCTCGACCTGGCACTTCACTGCGCACTGCTGCCAACCCCCAGACCACTGGACAGGGCTTTCGGTCAGGCAACTAACATCACATCTTATATATACCTTTTGTTACGGTAGACCTAACTTACTTTATATGGCACGTAGGACCAGGGTATAGGTATAGACATATAGACATAGACATATTTTATTCATGAATTGGGTACAAATTATACAATGCACATCTCAATCGTCAAATACATTAGCCTATATGGTCTAGTAGCATTGAAATCAAAACAAAAAATAATTAGTTAAATCTATTTTATTCTAAATATTTAAACAAATAGGTAAGTCAAATAAAAATGCCATGTGTTGAATGAGATCAGGCAGACAGGAATTCTTCGGTACCTGCTATAAAACTCACCTTCAACCAAATAATTTTTAGTAGTTTCCCAAAACCTCTATATAACCCAACCTTGAACTGCACTGCTTTACTTCTTCAGGAAGCTTATTAAAGAAAAATGGGCCCGAAAAATTTGCATTCCTTTCAGAAAGGGTCAGACGATGACATGGAGTACGAAGATCTTCTCCATGACTAGTGGGGTATCTATGACATTGACCAACCGATGGAATATCCTTCAGATGATTTACTGCAGACATTATTGCTCTGTAGATGAATATAGAAGGCAAAGTTAAAATGTTGTTCTCCCGGAAGACTCCTCTAGGCATGAATGGAGTGGTGGTAAGCAATTGAGGATACACGCTGCCCTTTTTTGTACGGTAAAGACCTTATCAGCATGGGAAGAACCACCCCAGACTTCAATACCATAAGTCATGACTGAGAAAAAACAACCATAGTAGACTGCAACTAACATTTCCCAGTCAAGAAGAGGTTGCAACGTCCTAAGTGCATGGCAGATGCGGTTCAACTTCCAACAAAGCTGTGATACATGATTGGACCATGACAACATTTTATCCACAGTTATACCTAAAACTTTCACAATAGAGCACTCTTCTGTCTCAAACTTATTCAACGAGACGGATTCAGGGATCTTCAGGGATATAGGTTATATATTCAGTTCATGTACTTTCAAGAAGTATATGAACCCAACAGTATTGAGTAATCCAACAGTAATTGAGTCTTGTGTACCATACCCTCATTCAATATTAGGTATACCCTATTTTTAACATTCATCGGTAATACACCGGCTATAAGATTGAATTTTGGAATATTCTGAATATAATCTTTGAAGGAAAAACAATGATTTTTTTTAATAGGCCCCGAGGAGAGACAGGTCGGCCAGTGAGTGGAGTCGTCCGGCCAAACACTCAGAGTGGTCGAGCTACCAGTTTAGAAGCTGCGTTGAGAACCCCTCGTACCGCTCGGTCTGCGCGGCCATCCACTTCACAAAACGCTCGAACTGTCCGGCTTGGCACTGCCTCCATGATGAGTCAGCCAGATGGTCCTTTTATTCAGGTGATAATTTTGTTCCTTCAACAGAATTTTATTTTCAATACATTTTCTTTTACAATTAACGTCTTTATGGTTTACAGGTCGCTAGACTTAATCTGCCAAAGTATGCTGCCGACGAAAAGCTAGCCAAACCTCTGTTTCAATACATTTTCTATCATGAAAATGATGTCCGCAACGTAAGTTATGCTCAAAATTCAAATTCCATTTAACTCACAAATTACTTTCGATTTTCTAATGAAATCTGATACTGTACTGATGGCCCTTACCCAATTCTTTATTCCCTAGGCTTTGGACCTAGCTGTTGAAGCCACCAAAGCAGCTCAGTTCAAGGACTGGTGGTGGAAAGTACAGTTAGCTAAATGTTATTTTCTGCTCGGACTCTTGCGAGATTCAGAACAGCAACTTCGTTCTGCCCTTAAACAACAACCTACGATTGAAGGGTGAGCGCTGCAATCAATTTATTCTTTAAGGCACTGTATACTAGATGAGGAATCTATATAACTTTGGTTCTACAATGTCCTCCCTACTTAAAATTTACTCTTTCTATATAAAAAAGTTTTTATTGATCATGCATTACTCTTACTCCCATTCCTGTCAAAAAGGAGTTTGTTCTTTCAAAAGCCATCATAGTTTCCTCAGTAGCCTATATTTTTTTCATAGAAATTCAAACATTTTAGTTTGAACACATTTGGTTATTCTCACGGTAGGAAATATTGTCGACAGATATATTCTTACAATTTTTCAAAAAGTATGGTGCAGTATTGTTCCGACTGATTGCAGATTCCTGCGCATCGCAAGAGTTTACATCCGTTTAGACCAGCCTCTCAGCGCAGTAGATATTTGTCGATCTGGTTTGGAAATATTTCCCAATGAGGTCACGTTGATGACGGAAATTGCAAGGTAAGCAATTTTAATGTAGAGTTGCCAAGTAGGCAAGTGAGTGTAGTCTAACATTGACGAATCTAAAACGGTTACACATGAGAATCATTGTTTGTATCACATGAACTTAGGACTGATTCGCCCACGAGTTTTGAAATAAATTACAGAGAACTAACTGAATTTTGAAAACGTTCATAAGTTATTTTACTTCCTAGAGTCCTAGAGGGTCTCAACAATATTCCAGCTTCAGTGAAGTACTACAAGGAGATTCTTCAAAAAGATGCCACTAACATAGAAGCAATTGCTTGCATCGCAGTGAACCACTTTTATGGCGACCAACCCGAAGTTGCCCTGAGATTTTACAGGTAACATAGTCAGCTCAGCTATGTAGGATATGATTTAGCAACCATTTTTCAAACCAAAGAAAACAATGCCAATGCAACCACAATAGTTTTTAAATACCAAAAAATTTATTAAACCTAAGTCTGGATTAAATATTTTAAATATTAAGTGATATACAGGGTGTCCCGGAACTCTCTACCAACATTTTAGGGCATTGTTCCTGGGTAAGAAACATATCTAAATATCATATTTAAATTGTCCGGAAATCCTTAGTTACTCAGATAGCCGCCATTTTGTTTTTTTCACTTATTAATTTTTTTCTGAAAATTGGTTAAACATACGAAGTTGAAACTTTGCACAAACATTTATGACAACTAGACAAAGCTACAAAAAAATTATGACGATTTTTCAAATTCATAAAACAAAATGGCGGCTGTTTAACATTTTGTTTGTTAAATTACTCGAAAACCGTTGATTTTACAAAAGTTTTATAAGATTAACATTTTAAGGCAATTTTATTACAAATCGATCGACACCTTAATCTTTAAGATCGGACGAGTATTAACTGAGATATGGCAGTTTTAGTTATACGTGACCGCTGGAGGTTAGTTGCAGCGCATGCTGAAAGCGGTCACGTATAACTTAAACTGCTTAAATATTTTCTAAAACTTATAACTTAAATATTTTTTCACCAAACATTTTCTTTTTTCATGCTCTTTCATTTGATATGTCACAAGGGGTACCTTAAGTGCTTTAAGTTTGATGACATTGTACAATGTGATTTTGGATAAGTCTAAGGAATATCAAAACAAGTTTGTACTTAAATGTTTAAGATTGAAAGAAAATTTGAAATCTTTCCTTTATAAAAGTCAAAACTTCAGATATAAGTCAGGTTCTAAAAATTTTAATTTATGATAACGCTAGAAATTTGGAGTTGCAAAAGCTATTTAGGTGAGTCAGTGGCTCAGTTGGTAGCGTCGCGGACTTCGGGCCCAAGGCAGTGGTGTCGTGGGTTCGGATCCTGGTCACTGCCACATACTTTTATTAGTACAGTTCACCTTTATACTGTACCGGCTCACTCCTTGCTTCGCTGGATTTGTTCCACGCACAGATCTGTAGTCTATGTGGACGGGCAAATGCAAGGTTAAAAGAGGCCACCAACCTAAATAATTTATTCCTCACTACAGCAAACTTACACCATTTCATAATATTCTTAGAGATAAGGTGTAAAATAATTAAATGCATCATGAAAGGAGATTTGTATGAGTGCAATTATAATGATACAGTAGTATGAAATAAATATTTTTAACGAGCTAACAGTAATAAATAACAACTATAATTTCTACTAACTATAAATTACATTTTAAAAGTTAATTGTTGGTATTTTCCAAAGTAAAAATAGCTCAAACACCCATCTTTTAGAGTGTGAATAGCAATTTTTTAAGGGATTCCTTGTTCTCCATCTGACAATTATAGGACTGGGGAGTTTTGGATACCGAAGTGGAATTCATCTATATAGACCAGCTGTAGGCTGTAGCCAGTTTTGAATTGAATATTGCAATAGAACCTGGTTGAATGAACCTTGTTCACTCTCACAGAGTGCACAGCTGTCAAATTTTGATTTTCTACCTTAATTTTTGGTACCGTACTGTAGTATATAAAGTAACATAAAGAAATCCATAGTTTACGTTTACAATAAGTTATCCTTTCAATGTGATTAGAAATTTGTACCAACAAAGAGAAATCAGTAAGTGACATCAATATACTGTCCGTGGATCAAATCCAATAGGTCAATTTTGTCAAATCTGGCTACAGCTAGGGACATAAGAATTGTATTTCTAGTTCTATCATTTATAGTCAAAGAACTTGACACATTTAACAGGCGATTTTTCATTTGTGTAACTACACAATTTCATTTCTGTCAGGAGGCTGCTTCAGATGGGTCTGTACAACACCGAGTTGTTCAACAATCTTGGTTTGTGTTGCTTCTACTCACAGCAGTATGATATGACTGTCAGCTGTTTTGAGCGAGCTCTCAGTCTCGCCATAGATGAAACGGCAGCAGACGTTTGGTACAATATTGCCAATATTGCAATTGTGAGTAACTTTTGTATTGGGACAGTATTTAAATTATTTTATTGTGTGACTATTTTCATGTGTGAGTTTTCTCACCTTTGGAATATACGATACAGTAATTTATATTTACTTCATTTGAATTTGGCAAGAATGTATTGGATATAGTTTGAGAGGATAGGAGCTCTTGGTTTGAGGGGTGGTTGGTAGTTTAACCTATCTATTCATTACTCCTCTTCCTACATATATATTTTATTTATTTGAGAAATATTAACCCTTTGAGGTCGAATTTTTCCCCCATTTTTCGCCAAGTACAGTTTGCCATTAGAGCAGTCGGGCAAATGGCGCCCGGCGACCTATACTCGCCATTCGACTAAAGAAATAAACTTTTTTTAGTTTTTTTATTTATGGTTTTTTTGTAGGTTGCCATTATTGAGCAGTCAGAAAAATGGCGGGCGGCGACCTATACTCGCCATTCGACCGCAAAGGGTTTAACAGCCTGAAATGCTTTAATGAATGCATGATACACCTTATACAATTAGGCTATGCCTGTTATTGAGTGATTAATTTCTGTTCTAAAAAACCCACCCAGAAGTATCAAAAGCTAAAATATTAAAATCTTAGCTTGGAAAAAAACACTTATCTAAACATATTATAGTCTGAAAGCTACTGTATTTTTTTATTTTTTTTTACTAAATATTGTCTATGCAAGATAACCGTTTTAGGCGTGAATGATGTTTTAATTATTTTAGTAACTTTATCAGCACTATACGAAGGAACTGGCTCATGAGAACTGCTGGCAACAAGGGCCATAGAATTATTTAGGTCATGAGCTTTACTCAAGCGACGTATCATAAAACTTTAGTAGCTGTGATTTCAAATTTGACTTTTAGGTTTAAGGTAAAAATTAACATACATCATGACTGTTGTACCAAGGCCTTGGGAGACTTGAAGCTGGCCTCTCAGTGTCTGCGACTAGTGTTGTCTGTTGACTCTAGTCACGCCCCCACCTACAACAACCTCGGTGTGTTGGAATACAGGCGGGGCAACACGTCCCAGGCGAGGGCTATGTTCCAGGCGGCAGGTGCTCTCGCCCCCTACCTCTACGAACCTTTCTACAATGGCGCTCTTATTGACAATGGGGTTTGTTACTTATATTGGTCTTATACTTATAATGTGCCTATTTTTAAGGATGTTAAACTCCGACTTTTGTATAGTCTAGGACCCTAACCAAGGTTTTGGGTTAGCCAGCTAACCCAAGTTGAAACCATAACAGGTTAGGTTTACTACACTGTTGTATTTGGTGGTAAACAAGTCTAGAGGAGAATGAGAGTTGTTTATTCAGTTAATGAGTTAAAGAAATCTTTTACAGAGTGAGACAGTCTAATAACTCCCCGGCGACATCTCATCACAAACTATAGTCTAGTCCAGCTTAGTATATTCATATTGTAGATTTATTCTAAAGCCCGTAAGCCATAAATTGCGGTGTGAGTGATATAAGCTGACAACTGAAATTTAAAACAAAACTCATTGTGGCGTGTGAACTAGACCAACCAAGTAAACAAGCCTGAGCAATTGATATTTGACGTCTGCAGAATAAAATAGGTCAGCCGAGAAAATAAAAATCACAAAATACTAGTGGGGAGCTAGTCTATGAGCTTTCAGCAAATAATTTTTCTGATAATTAACTGTTGTTTCAAGATTAATTGTAGAAATTTTAAACCTCAAATCGATTAAAGTACGCTACATCACTTTGGTGTGAGCAATGCATAACCAACCATATTCACAATCTCAATCTGTGGTGAAATTGTTATATCAATATACCATTTTTAAGACAGTCACTATTAAAGCTAAGTTTTAACCATAGATAAAACAAACATATATTTCCATGGTAGATTTGTTATCCTTATGGTTCTAATCATAAATAATACCTCATCTCCTAGTTATATAACAGTAAAGCACAAATCATAAAATCAACCCAAAACAAGCTTCTTATTTTACAATGGGATAAGACGTCTGCTGTGCTTATGAGTTGGCGAGTCTATGATTAAACCTTTGTATTTGGTATTTGCAGGTTGGTGACCTCCAATCCAGTTATGTGGCTGTGCAGAAAGCACTTCAGGCTTACCCAGGTCACAAAAGTTCAGCTGACTTGCTCAATGACCTAAAGAAGCATTTTAACAACATCTAAACTAGATGTAGTAGCTCTAGATGCCGTTGGCCATCTGTAAATATGAGGCTTGTTCGTTGATTGAGATCACGAACAAGCTCTTGTGGCTAAGCAAGCTATTTCAAATCTGAGATCAGCTCCGTGGTTTTTTCACTTCATCCACTACTATTCCAGCTGATTCCCACCCCTCTACAAGTTTCGTTAGAGGAGCCGAAAACTATATGACATAAAAAACTAACTGCCAAGTATGAATAAAGTTCTGTGATAGGATATCTTAGCTTCAAACACCTTTTAAGTCCATTACTAAATTGGAAAGTATTTTGGTGTGTTTAATTTGTTTTTCTTCACAAAACTTTAACCCAATAACTAATTTGGAGGGAGACTTTGAAAGTTTTCTCAAGAAATTATTTTTCTATCACAGTACCTACCTAGTATAATGTGAATCCTGGAATATTGTTAGTAAAGCTTGAAAACATATGTAATACAGTTAGGAATGAAAATAAATAAGCATTTTGAAAACTAACGCTAATTATTTACAAGATAACTTTACACTTGATTTATCTTGAATTTCTTCATTTTATCCTTGTAATCCGCCCGGTGAAGAGCGAACAGGAGTTTTTCCTCGATGTGGTCGACGGCTGCTGTCGTCAGAACTAGTGTCTCATGTTTCAGCATACTGTACACGTTCAAGCCTAAACATATATTTAAGCTATAATTTGGCTTCCAACACAGTTGAAGGTAGTCAGCAAGTCTAAATCAATTAGTGCCAAACAGCTAATGAGGAGAAGGAATTGGTGTTAAATGAGGGAAGGTAGTAGGGGAGAAGGCAATGAATAATCTATACCAGCTGTTCCCATACTGTCGGTCACAGAGAGACACAACATTAAAAATGTTTTTAGTTGGGACTCATATGGTCTGCTGAGCACCAGAATTAATACTGTACCCTACCGAGCATTATTGTAGATTTCAATAGTTTTGGGACTTTTTGGACGTGAATAACGTTTTAATATTGCGATCAATGAAAATATCTTACGACATGTAGATAATTATCATTACGTTAATAAGAACACAGGAACACAGAAGACGATTACGACGTCACCTTGATCGTTGAGATGATCACGTTAGTTCTGCAATTTACGGAATATAGTTAGGATGGATTTGTGATAGAATTGCTCTGAATTTACCAACTAATTTGTAAACATATGGAACGACTTTAAAACCTAGGTTTCTTAACTCAAGTTTTTGTAATGAAATTAATGGGAAGGTTGAATAAATTGTTAAATTTATCTCCTGTCAAACACTTTTGACAGTGTTTGATTTATAAGGGGTATCGGACACTACAATTTTGAATTTTCAGATTTGTTTTCAAAGAGTTCACAAAGGAAGTGTTAGCTATGATGACAGATTCTTCAATTTATTATTATCTTTTGAAGTGCTAGATATTGGATATTTTTAATTTTGAGCCTGGCCCAAAGTAGGCTACATTTATAATTTGTAGTACAGGATTTAAAAACATCCGCAGACCCCTATTTTGCTGGAATCCAAAGAAAATTGAACATCAAAACAGATATTCTCTTGTAAATAGAAGATTAAAAATTTATTTTAAGCTATTTAAAGTTTCTCAAACATTAGTGTTTAGAATTAGATAATCTATTTTCAAAAAAATTACCCTCATAATTATCTTATGTGTAGGTTTCCCAGTGTACATAATAGTTTAACAAAATTAATTAGAATAAAATAATTTTATACTTTTAATATTGTTCTAAAAAAGGCTTGCAGGAAAAATGTCCAAGACGGTGGGTCACCAGTCCAAAAAGTTCAAGAACTGCTGATGCTTGGGGTTGCTAGAGACTAAGTTGTGGTGTGCAGTAATAGGCTTCAAACTGTGTGATGTTTCGATGCCAGTTTCACAGCACATTACTAAAATTTTATCTATTATCCTCACCTTGAAGCTTGGACTGAGGGTATATTGACATAAAGTCGATCAAGTCACTGTTTAGGCCTATATATAATTATGAGTTTTATTGATGATTATTGGAGTAAAATTACACATTAGTTATTTAAATTACAAAAATCAATATTTAAATTTATTAATTCAAGGCTTGTTGAATGTTAACTATTTAATTTGTACAGTATTGATTTTATTCAATCCTAAGGTATCAAGTGAGCTAATTAGTGGTTGCTACAAATTGTTAAATTTTGTTTGGATGAATTCTATTATATAAGTACCACAGCAAATTAATTAAATAATTAACAAAATAACAAATTGTTCAATAGAAATAATTCTCCTACTATGATTTATAGAGGGGAAACATCTCCCCTCAGAATGATTCGTTTAAAACCTGAAGCGTTCTACTTCAGCACCATACTGAGAAAATTAATTTGCCATAGACTCACCATATGCGGGCATTAGATTCATGTGCTTGAATCCTTCACACGCCAAAGAAATATTTTTGGGCATCAGATCTGGCCTGTAAGTAAATGTATTATGTTAAACAAACAACAATTAAAGGTGTAGCATAGAGCACAAGGGCCTAGATTTTTTAGGATTTTTTGAGAGGATAGCAGGCTTACCTGAATGGGAAAGAGTCCAAACTGCCAGTTTGGACTCTTTCCCATTCAGGTAAGCCTGCTATCCTCTCAAAAAATCCTAAAAACAACAATTAAAGTTGGTTATTCAATTGACCACACAATATGCTATGCTACCTTAAAATGTATGAAGTATTATTTTAGCACGGCCCAAGCAAGGCCACAACTGATATAGACTCAGTTGGAAAATAGTACACTAGATAGCTCAATGGGCCGAAAATAAATCTTTGTAGTAGGTATATGTATCAGAAATAAAACAACTATATAGGGAAACATTTTTAAAGGATACAATTTACATTTAGACAGCTTCTTTCTTAAAATTTTATCTGAGACTTACTTCTATACCCACAAACACCTGGAACCTGATACCTGTTTACTCAGGAATCAGGTAACGTGACATCTAGATTAACGATTAATTATTTTAACTTACACATCAACAAAGAGGACAGATATTCCCCAACCACGAGTGCTGATGAGGTCTTCAAGGTATCGAGGTTCATCAGTTGGTATCTCCAGGGAGTCCACAATGTGTAGATCATCCTGGAAAGTTAAAATAACTTCCTTTAACTCCATGGAATAGTAATTTAATTAAGCCTATATTTACTTATGATTCTTGAATTGTCCAAGTAGCCTAATGATTCAAAGTCCAAACCTATAAATTTCAAAGTTGCTCGTTGACAGTCAGTTCAATGCGAGATTGTTTCCGGACCCAAATGTTGTTTGTCATTAAGCTATAAATATAATTATGCTAGCAAGCAAACCCCTAAACATTCAGGTCCTGTTAAAACAAATTTTAATGCACATAGGCCTACATTAAAATAAAACATAGTCATGCACATTAGCAAAATTAAAATTACTGATTCCAGGTGTAATTCACAAAGCATTATTCATTCTCTCAAATTTTACTGAAGCAATCCATCATATATTAGGTGGGCCTTTCGCACCAAGCTCTGCCCCTAGTTTTTCATAAGTTGCATCACCAGACCTGACAAAAAAGGTTTACTAAAACGTTTTTGATACTCAAGGTTGAAATGGATGCATGGAATGTGGCCTTTAGATTCAAATATGGATGTACCAATATCCCTACCAATAGTATAGGTAGTTAGAAATACGCTCATTCATAAAAACCCACCCTTCTCCCTATACATTCACTTATACTATAGTCTAGTGGTTGAAAACTCGACCAAAAATATGTAATGTACGGACTTCTATTTATTTTCACCCCACATTGTAAATAAAATAATGTGATTGGAATTTCTTTAATTTGTTTTCATTTTCTGTTTATACATTATGGTATTTTCTGTAGTGGAACTAGCCTAACTAATATTCTGCCACTTGGCTTGACTTGTCCCATTACCTGACTCAGCTTGATTGAGAGTGTGGATGTGAGGCCCATGACTCTGCTGAAGTATGGAAGCATGTAAAAGTGAGAGGTCGGACCACGAGGACCGTGGGCCTCCCCTCCCTTCAGAAACAGTGGGGATCGTATGCTGCCGTGACGAGCGCGACCTAGGCCCTTCTGAGGCCATGGCTTGCGTCCACCACCCGGTCTCTCCTCTCTAGTTGGTGCCCAATTGTAGTCCTGAAACATCAATTATATGTAGCCTTAGCTGAAATATTTTACAAACTTTTATAATAGTAGGCTATATTTCACACCTAGGGCCGAGGTTATGCCAGCTCGAAGAGCCAATGAGGGCAGTGCGTTGTTGCCAAATCTAATAATACCAGCTGATTTGAAAATATTGTTTAGTATATTTTAATTAGTGTCGAAAAGTAATGAACGGGTGATGTTGCAACGGCTTGGTAGTCCAGTCTTTTTATTGGCTGCCACCAACTGCATATTCTTGTGGTCCCTAGTGTACTGTTAAAATGCCCTTTGTCAGTGTATGTATAAATAAATTGAATTGAAACACTAAATAATGACCAACCATTCAACTATTCCATTTTGACACTCTAAAATTAGCACTATTTCTACCAGTTTTTAAATAACATATGTTTTCGAAAATGTTCATTAAGAAGTTAATTTCTAGGCAGAGGCAATTCGCACGTCTGTTCCAAATCCAGTTACTTTTATAACTGTTTAGGAACAGGTTGCACACAAAGAAAACCTAGGATTAGGAACGGTAGTACCTCTAAGCCTCATTAACCGAAATAGATGGAATAAACTTCACGTTTTATGTCCGCAACTTTAACTTAAATATTTATTATGAAATGAGACTGATCTAAACGTCATATAACGTGGTTCATAGATCCATGATATCATACTTAAAATTAAGAAAAATTATAAAATAAATTTTTTTATTTTTAAAACTAAACTGTCATAACCTAACCAAACTAACCAAACTTGCTGATGATGAAAAAATCGAATGAAGGTTTACTAATCGAAAAAAATAGTAGTAGGCTAATGTTCATAAAATAAATTTATAGGTAAATGCCTCAAATTCAATTTGATAATTTGTTAATTATAAATTTAAACTGTCATAACCTAACCAAAGTTGCTGATGATGGAAAAATCTAATTAAGGTTTACTAATGAAAAAAACTGTTCTGTTCGTAAAATAAAATTATAATTGCCTCAAATTTTAACAAAAGATTTAATCGCATTCCAAGCTAAATCTTTGACAAAAAGTTGGTGTCTCCGGCAGGACTCGATCCAGCTACCTTCAGTTTACCAGCCTGGTACGCTATCCACTAGTCCACCGAAGCTAATGGTTATTTACTGTATTGTTGCGGTAATGGTGTTCGAGAGCCAATAGAATTGTGGAAAAAAGTAACTACTCCCTTTGCATTATTTTGTAATACTGGAACTGGAACGGGTTGTGAGGTCATTTTGACATGCGAATGGTCACTTTGTAATTTCTATAATCCAGCAACGCCACAGTCCCTACCGTGCCAGTAACGAACGTAAACTGTAGTGTTATCTGAGTTAGTGACAAAAATAACCATTCATTATTAATTGAGATTAAGAGAAGGGATCATCATTTTGATTTGCTAGGGTGTGCGTATTTAGACACAAATATGAACGTACAATGGATTGAGATGATCTGTGTAGCTTTGTTACTCAGTAGTTGTTTTGCAAAGTCAGCTGTTTTATCAGCCAGATTCCCTTAACCCTTCATGGGATGGTGTCTTTGATTTTAAAACACGACCGATTTTAAATCAGTGACACACCGAGTCTTTTTTCTTCTCGGGTATTGAAACATAAGACAAAACTATGTAATTTTTATTTTATACCTTCATATAACTAAGTTAATTTACAAAGATTTATAAAAACCATGTAGGTATAGGCCTAACAATAAAATTGTACCTACATTAAATCAATAAACGTTCTTACTTCACATATTTTACCAAACAAATATTTGGCAAACAAAAACAACACCAATGTGACTCAAGGAACCCCTCAAGGTCGTGGAAAATCCAAAAATTTTCTGCGGGCTTACACGGTCCAAGTTGCGTGTAAATAATCCTTGTGAGTGATAGTTTTAATGAATAGGCTATTTGGAAATTAATAAGTTTTCAAAGGCTCGTATCGGTTTGAAAACGCCTACTTTTACTATATTGAATCACTTTGGAAATTCGGTTATTATGCGCTCTTCCTCACGATCAATGTAGGGCTACAGAATATTGACTTCGCAGCTTTTGCTTATGTATGCATGACACTTTGTAGTGATACTGTTTGTAGAATGGATAATTTTTTGGCAGAAAATAAAGTTGTCAACTTTCTACAGAAACTTATACCTACAATATGTTAAGTGTGAGAAATGGCCATGTGGCTTGATAAAAAAATAAACCATAAAAAAATTTAAATTAATAACCAGTTGGGCAGGCTGGACTTTCTGTAGCCCTCCTTGTTTTTCTGCTACAATGACGCACTGTCGCCTGTAGTTCTGCTTTGGGGCATTGAACTAAATACACTCTGAAAATCCAGCTGTGATACACGGAGCCGAGCTCCTTGCTATGCGACTTCACCTGATTAATAGGGGTTTTGCAAGGCAGGTGAGGGCAAAAAAATGTCAATTGGTTCCTAGGAAAAATGCACCTGAGGTACTAATACTCTTAAAACTGCTGGCTGGCGATTTCACATATTTTTTCACAAAAATAAATCTGCCTGGGCTGTAGCCAGATGAAAGGTTAAAGCCCAATGATCAGGAGCTAAACGAGAAAAGTTATAGCCTACTATGAGCAATAAAAGCAATTCAGACATTCATTTCCCCATAGTATACATTCTAGTAAAGGTTACTCATTCCTTACCACAAATCTATATTCTTTCTGCCAGTGAACATTTTGTGCTATAATATCGATTCGAGGCATCATGCCCCAGACTTCTGGATGTAAATCGACCAGACCAATTTTCTGTTCTTCTAAGGTGTCTATATTTTCAACCCATGCCGATCTTGGTTTGACTGCCTTTGGTAAGTATTGAAGTTGTCTTGAAAATATGATTGGGCTTCTTTCTGGTGATGGTGCTACCGGTGTTGATTCAGTATTGATCTCATTATTAACTGAAACAAACTTACAAATTAGATATTACACTAATATTCAAGCTAAAGTGCATGGTGTACCATGGTAGTCTGTTGAGAGTTTAAATAGATTACAGGATAGCTCTTAAATGGTGGTTTTTTGACTTATGCCCTTAAAACCAAAGCAACCACATAAATTGTTAGACATTTTTAAGATTCTATTCTAAATTCAACGCTGATTCAGAAAATGACATTTTTTCCTGCGGAAAAGGCGTGGGTACAGTTTCTTAACTGGGCTGTGCTAATATCAATTGAAAGTTAAAACCTTTAGTTCTAAGACATTTCCTTGACTGTGCCATGCATGTAAACCAGTGTAACGGCAATAAAGCATTCTTATTCTTATTCTAATCTTAGAAACTAGCCTATAGGATTGAAAATATTGATTAATAATCAATATTTTTAAATATAGCTAGGCCTATTATAAAATTAAACTATCATAACAGCTGCACTTTACTTTAGGCCCTACACTCATTCGATTGAAAATATCGATCGATATATCGATTAATCTGAGAACGATATATCAAATGAAACAATCGAATAATCAATACTAGTTAACCGCCCGTGCTCCGCCACGGGAATATTGTCAGCAATAAAAGAAATAATAATTAACAAATACTGTTTATCTTTGTATTTTATTTAGGGGTTGTTTAATTTGTTACATGAAATAGAACTGATAGTTTGCCTGTATAAACTATTTTATGTTAATCAAACCGATATATTATTTTAACCAAATGAATGTTTTATATTAATTCGAGTTTCATTTGAAAAATAAATAGTATACGAACTGGGCAATGCTGATAACCTAATAAGCAGCTATTTATGATATTTAGATAATTTGCTCAAGTATATTCCTATATTCCTCGTTTTTTTTCATTACATTTGTTGTATGGAATAAAGATAGTCACTTAGCCTACATGTAAATCACGCATCAGCAGTTGGTCGCATTTCACGAATCTTTGACCCATACTGTGAGTAAAAGCTGTGTTTACGTCGTATATATAAAGTTGGGCATACTTTGTTCAATGTTAGAGGGTATTAACGGTCCAATTTGATGGAAAAGGAGTCGTGGATTTTAAAACTATGTAGACTACCACTACCAGAAAGATGTTGATTCAAGTGAGACTTAGAACTGGCCATTTCAAATGCAGATTTGTATTATATTTTACTCAAATCGTTTTTTGTCTCTTTTGACCCTTAATACTTTTTTTATAGTCGCTGTTGATAAGATTTTCCATAAACTCAAAATGTTGATAAGGAGTTCATTTTACCTTCCCCTTGTGACAACATAAGGAAAAAATATTTGTGTCCCAGTTAGTCTGTTCTGACTCAAAATTCATAGATTTGCAGTACTGACAAATCCAATTTAACGACCCCAATTCAAAAAAATTGGTATTTTTTTGAAGGGACTTCCAGAGCACATTTAACACCATCACTGCTCTTTAGGCTACCTTTTTAGTTCGATGGTTCTCTACATGTTTTTTCGTTCGGTATGTCTCTTTACGCTCGGTTAATGATTACCTTTTCTTTTTCTTTTTGTACTTTTCACATCCTGGGGTTAATGATAAAGTTTTATAACGCTATTATGACCCGAGTCTACATTGCCATTAAACATCAAGTCAGATACTTCTTCGCCAGAACTGAAATCGTAAGTCACAGTTTCTCAAGCAACTTCCCTGTGTAGGGCCTACTCAGAAAATAGTTAGGGTACCTAGAAAAAATATAGTTAGGGTATAGTTCACTGATAAATTGTAGGTTCCAAATATCCCAGCGTACTCGCCATCTCGAGAAGGTAAAATTTGGACGTCGAACACCTATCTTGAGTAAGATTAATCACTTACGATAAAATGTTTGTATGTTTACCAATCATTAGCAATTATCTGTACAACTTGCAAGCGGATTTCCCTATGATTGTTCTGGTGGCTATAGAGAATAAATTATATTGATCAAAACAATAAGTTTCCGTCCCCTACTATGGGTATTATTTCACATTCCATACTCAAACTTAAACTCAATTAGGTACCACTTTCCTTCAGATCACTTTGCAGGAAAACTAAAACATTTTTGTGTCCCAGTTAGTCGGTTCTGAGTCGGAATTCATAGATTTGAAGTAGTGACAAATCCAATATAACGACCCCAATTCAAAAGAGTTGGTATTTTTTTGTAAGGAATTCCAGAGCACATTTAACACCAACACTGCTCTTTACCTTTTTAGTTCGATGGTTCTCTACATTTCTTTTTCGTTCGGTATGTCTCTTTACGCCCGGTTAATGATTACCTTTTCTTTTTCTTTTTGTACTTTTCACACCCTGGGGTTAATGATAAAGTTTTATAACGCTATAATGACCCGAGTCAACATTGCCATTAAACATCAAGTCACATACTTCTTCCCCAGAACCAAATAGTAAGTCACAGTTTCTCAAGCAACTTCCCTGTGTACTTGAAAAAAAAAATCACTGATATATTGTAGTTCCACGTATCCCAGCGTACTCGCCATCTCGAGAAGGTAAAGTTTGGTACCACTGAACGTCTAACACTGATCTTGAGTAAGATTCGTCACCTACTATAAAATGTTTGTATGTTTCCCACTCATTAGCAATTATATGTACAACTTGCAAGCGGATTTCCCCATGATTATTCTGGTGGCCGTAGAGAATAAATTATATTGATCAAAACAATAAGTTTCCGTTCCCTACTATGGGTATTATTTCACATTCCATACTCAAACTTAAACTCAATTACCACTTTCCTTCAGATCACTTTGCAGGAAAACTAAAACATTTCAAAAATAAGTTAACAAATACACTTTCCTTGATCAAAATCGTGTGTTTATAAACAGAAACTCCAAGTTTAATAATTGCATACTGAAAGTGAGGTTATAAAAATAATAACAAATGTCTGATAAACATTAAACAGCTGACGAATAATTTATCAACTATGTATTATATTCTTCAATAAGAATTGTATTGACTCGACTTTTAAAGGGCTGTAGGTCGTAACCCTTAGAAAAAACGTAAATTCTAAGGAAGTTCGGCAAATCTACACACTATCCCCTTTAATTTGAGACATAAATCTTGTAGATCGGTCCAGTAATTACTGAGAAAACAGTGTTACAACTGTGTATTAAATATATAGATTTTCATTCGAATTAGTGTAGGACCTAAAGTAAAGTGCAGCCATCATAACATAACCTAACCAACCAAACTTGCTGATTGCGAAAAAATCGCATGAAGGTTTACTAATCGAATCCTTAATTTCAATCGATATTAGCATAGCCCAGTTAAGAAACTGTACCCAAAGTTAACGCCTTTGTTAACACGTTCGCTGCTGAGCGCTAGATGCCGGGACGGCGCCAGTTGCTGAACTACGCTCGGCCGCTGCGTGACATTGCCACCGATACACTGAATTACAGTAAAAACAACAGTAGTTATACTGGATGGCAATGTTCTGCAATAAAACTGGCTTTGGATATAGTACTAAGTGATTCTGATAGATAGCAGCACTACCCAGGTTACAGTCGGTAAAGTAGTGTCGCTATCTAGCAGGAAAGAGGTAAAACAAAGCCCTGTTCCAAACGACCCTGGTGGTGATTTGGGAAACTATATTTTTTATTGTCAGAAAAGTACGTCCCCACGAGCTGCAAAGAAATATAGAACGCTTGTGACGTGCTGGCTTATCCATAGCAACGTTAAACAACAATGAACGGTGACGTTCTGGAACGTTCTTAGCTCCTGGCGCCGTGGCCCGGCTGACGTTCCGGAACGTCCGTAGCAGCGAACGTGTTAATCGATAGTTTCAATCAATATAGGCCTAAGCATAACCCTATTTTTGATCTAGGGCAGGCCTACCATGTTGTATAAAACTCCAAAACATGTTGTGACCACTGTCTATAAAGTGACATCTCACCTTCTATAATTGTAGAATCACTATGTGAAGATAATCCCCTGATGGATAAGTTAGAGTGAGGCTTTTTTCTTGCACACAATCTCAAGGAAATTAAAAAGTTGTTCATCATTGCAAATGTTTGTTAAATAGGCCTTCCACTGGATATTACAACTTCTTGTTCACATTACACCAGAGAAGACAAGTTCAACCGGTAATATTGAAAAGATTAATTTTGTTTCTGTAAAAGTTATAATTATATTTTCTTTTCTGGGGTGATTTTCCGGGCTGGATGGTCCTTTGGGGTTATGTTATAAATATTCACTCAACCAACACTTCACTTCACTCACACACAAACAACTGGAACTTGGAACTTCTGGAACTGAGAGAGAACTCATTGAACTCAACTAAAACCTAAAACTGAACTGACAACTGGGAGGCGGCCGTGCTGGAACTGACTGCAGTGCAGGCAGACGGGTTGAGTTCCCGCAAGGCTCAAAGGACGTTCCATGACGAAAGCTCGACGTCACGATTCCAGGGGCCCATTTCATAATAAAGTACAAACTAATTGAATGAACGAAGTGAATTCTCATACTGGTACGAAAAGCATCTCTATGGATTACAAAAACTCGAGAACGATTACATCTATCAACTTGATGTTTTGCACAAAGATTCTATAGTATAATATCATGCCGGGGATCGTTTTTGGAGCATATTTGTTCAGTAATTACTATTTAATCCTAAAAAAACCATTTTAATTTTCCCCCATAAGAATAACATTAGGAGCTACCTTCTTCTTCTTTTTTTTTGTTTACATTTTACGAGCAACAATTTTGTTATTTTGCTTCTTGCTTTAGACAAAGAGACCAAATTGTCATTATTAGTGAATCAGCTGATCGCCCAATGCAAATCTAATGGAAATTACAAGTTACAAGTTGTAACTTGTAGTTTATTATGAAATGGGCCCCAGGACGTTCAAACTTTCCAGATCCATTCCTTGTCCATTTTATCCATTTTAAATCAAAGACAAAAAATAGTGGGATGTAAACGGAATGGGCATAAGGGAGGGACGATGGCTAAAGGTGTGGTGACGTCATATCTATAGTGGCTAGGCCGGCCGCACACCTGATACAGCACGGCACGGCAAGGTGAGGCGAGACGTCTTTGCCTCGCCTTGCCGTGCCCGGTGGAGATTTGAGATGCATACGGGACGGCACGGCAAGGCAACTTGAGCACCCACATGGTCGATCCCATGGTTTCAGTAAAGTGAGATACTGTGTGTTGTGAGGTGGTTTGTACATTTTGTGACACTTTGTACTGCACATTTTGTGAGAATGGATGCAGAAGGTGCAGAAGAGGAATTTGAATTTTTGTTACACTTTTGTTACTTGAATGAATAAAAACCCCTGAAATAGACAACTGTGTGTACAACAACCAAAAACAACGCGTTGCAGCCATAGTTTATTTGAGCAACGAACAAAAGAGCAACGTTCACGTTTCGAGTAGTTTCCGCTCCTTTGATGTTCTGCTGCAATTTAATAAGCTGCCATAGATTATGGTACCTAATGAATGTAATGGATGATCTCCCTAACAGAGAATCGTGGGTGCATCCCATCAACCAAAAAAGGAACTTGAAACCATTCATTGCAGAACTAAGAGCAGATCCGGAAAAAATCATAATTACTAATATTAGGAAGTGCACACTGATTTTTGACAGGGGCTGTCACTGCGCTGAACGTGGTGTCGATCCTCGCGCATGTGCACATCGTTTTGCCTCAAGCCTTTTGCCCGAAAGACGAAAATTGAAAAGGCAGTACAAAGCGCCGTGCGGTGCTGTTTTGCCTTGCCTTTCCGTGCCCGATGATATGTGCGGCACCCTCATTTGAAATAATAGAAACCTAGTCGCATAAGGCACCTTAAGGCAAAACGTCGCGCCGTGCCGTGCCGTGCCGCATCTGGTGTGCGCCCGGCCTTATCTTCTCATGAGGCAACACGATTACCGTTAACGAGACATTGTGATTCCAGCGGCGTTCGTGGCTTAGTAGATAGCGCATCGGACTAGTGTTTAGGAGGTCTCCAGTTCGAAACCCGTGGGGGACACAAACTTTTTGTCTAAGATTTTGCTTTATTTGATTTTAGCGAATTTCCCATATAGGGAATAAGCTATTACCGTAGTACTCATGGTAAGACCTGGACGCGGGACCGATTTTTTTTTTTCGTTTTGAGGTCCCTAGAGGCCAAAAACACCATCCGTTCAAATTCATATATATATATATATATATATATATATATATATGTGTCCGTCAGCACGATAACTCGAGCAAAAATGATCCGATTTTGATGAAATTTGGTACAAACGTGTAAACATACGTTTATTCGAACGAGTTCGCGATCCAGCATGATCGGACCATGGGAACGGGGTTTACGGGGGGTTTTATGGGGTAAAAATCGGTTTTTCCCATTTTTGACCCAAAAAACATAAAATTTAGCAATTTCTTTCCAAACCATTTTGTAGAGCTTAAAAAAACAAATAATTTAGTATATTGAAGCGTTGTTATGCGCCTAATGGTTACGGAGAAAATTCCAAAAAATTTAAATTTTAAAATTCCCATGTTATTCTTATGGAGAATAATTAAACTGTTGTAGTTTGCTTGTTTGTGAACATATTTTGATCAAATTTGGAAAATGTTTTTATTTCTTACTAACTATTTACATTTTACAAAAAAAAAACAGTTTTACCCTCCCTGATGCAGCAAACCTAAGTACTTGTTAAACTAATTCTATTTAAATCAAGAATAAATGTTATATTTTTAAGTAGACATTTTAGTGTAAATCCAATCAGTCAAATGGAAATTCGCTTAGTCTGCAGGTTTGCTGCGGCGGGGGTATTTATCTTATATCTTTTTATATTATCAGCAAGTTTGGTTGGTTAGGTTAGGTTATGACAGTTGAATTGTATAATACTAAATTTTAAAATTGATTGTATGATTAAAAATTACAAGTCAACATTCATTTTATTTTTATCTTATATATTTTTTATATTATCAGCAAGTTTGGTTGGTTAGGTTAGGTAATGAGAGTTTCATTTTATAATTAAAAAGTTAATTTTATTATAACTAAAAATTATAAAATTAACTTAATTTAAATTTTTCAACCAAGCGGTTCTAGCGGCGAACGCTGACACCAGCCATCGTCCCTCCCGAGGCGAGCCTTTCAAGACCGGAAAATGCCGCGCGTCTGCGCATGCGCAAGTAAGCGTTATTCGTAACACTTGTAACAGCTGCAGCTGTTTCAGAAAATCACACTAGTATCTCCACTGCAACTCTTGCAACGCGAGCGTTTCGGGGCAGGAATTGGACTAGCCTACTGCGCATGCGCAAACCGTAAAATTGAGCTGATCTCAAATGAACGACTCTCACACAATTGAAGCAAAAGAGTGGTTTACTGTTCTCGTTCTGTCGTTCTGTCATCATCTGTCTGCCCCTGCCGTGCCCCAGCGATTGTAGTTTTCAAAGTCTTTAAGCTGTGTTTTTTTTTTTTTTTTTTTTTTTTTTTTAATAATTTGAGGTTTTATCGAAGTATCGTATATGTTTTGAAGTCGGATTTAAGATTTAAGTGTATAAAAGAGTGTTTATTGTTATGCGTTCTACCGTGCCATCCCCGTGCACCCTTGTAAGTTAAAGTTAGTTTTTATACTGTAGGCCTAGTCTTTAAAAGTGTTTGTTGTGTTTTGTTCCAAGTGTTGTCCAAATAAAACAAGGATACAGTTTCTTAACTGGGCTACACTAATAACGATTGAAACTATCGATTCGATTAGTAAACTGCGATTTTTTCACCATCAACAAGTTAGGTTAGGTTATGACAGATTAATTTTATAATAGACATAATATTTTAAGATATCGATTATTAATCAAGATTTCAATTCGATAGTTCCAATCGATATTAGCGTAGCCCAGTTAAGAAACTGTTGTACCCCTGTAGGGTCACACAGTTAGGACTACAGTACCGACATTTCCCATAAACATTGCAAAAGGACAAATCTTATAATTATATAACTGTCTAGGCTGTGTGGTAAAAGGCACTTAAAAATAAGTTACCAAGCGGTGTAACTTTCGTATTATTAGAAACCCTTGGGTGAGTTGTATAAAGGCCTACTAATCTTTAGGTTGACACATTTAAACCTATAGCCTGTAAACCATTATCTGTTTGGAAAAAAGTCTATGCCGTAGACTAAATATGGTCCTTAGCCAATTAAATGTGTAGGCTAACTAACTAACATTTAAATAACTTAGGCCTTGGCTAGGCTTTGCATTACCCTGGCGTAGGGCAAGGCTAGGTTCCGCTATCGATAGACAGGCCTACACTATAGTACCCTATTAGGTTACTATATTATAATACTATTGGTTTTAATTTTTTCATTTAACGCAATCTATCCAGCTATGGCTGGGCAACGATGAAGAACCGGTAAAGGTAAAGGTATATTGGGTCTCTCACTCTTTGGCAGTTTCCTGTTAAAGGGAACATTCATTATTATCGATGATTTCTTTTCGATATAAGCTTATCAATATTTTTGTTTTACTTCATGATTCATAACTTATTCCTTCTGTTATCTTCAAACACATTTAAATTATCTACTAATTTAGAAGTAGGCCGAACCTTGTTTAGGCAAACATTAAATAGCCTATTTTATTGGATTATAAAATCAAACTAAGCTAATCTAACCTAAGTTATAACATAACTAACCAAACTTGCTGTATAGGCCATGTTACCGTTTCAAAATTCCGTTTAATAACAGAAAAGGAATGGAGAATGGCTGTTTAACGGACAGAAAAATAAAATTTTGATATTCGAAAAGAAATTATCTACATATAATAAATGTTCCCTTTAACAGGAAAGTACCCATTCTTTACATTATACCATAGACAAAAAGAATTAAATATAGACCGTCAGCTGTGCTGCGGTTACCATAGGTTCTGGCGCACACCGCTTGGAGCACCACGGTAGTTACGGCGTACACGCTACGTAAACTACAGCGGTGTGCGCCGGAACCTATGGTAACCATGGCAACCGCAGCACGGCTGGTAGTCTGTATATAATTCTTTTGGTCTATGATTATACTTGCTACTCATACACACATATAGTCTCTAACTTAATAAGAATGCTGTAACCTTTTGAAAGAGGCATTTTCTCGCGCTGTTGTAATAGTCAGAATATTAAAACATCGTTTGTTTAATTTAAATAGCGGTTTGTTTGAAGTTATTTAGAGTAACATGGCCATGAGAAACATGCTTTGAAACTCCAACGACAGGAAAATATACGTTAAGTTTTATAAACGATTAAATTGTAGGCTAGTTATTTGTAGCGGCCAAAA